AAGTGAAACGAGGAATGTATAGGTTTTCCTATAATGTGTGTGATTTTTCTTTTGTGTCTCTACAAAATTTGTCTATCAAAAATCAAGGCCATTATAGAAAATATCTTGATAATAATAGATATATTTGGTGCACATTGAAGAGGTCTGCATATTTTAAATTTCCCGTGTAATAACCAAAATAAATAGGAAAAACTGGTAATTTTCGATGGTAAATAATGTGCAATTTTTTTTTTTAAATTTTTCTTTCCTAATAGGAGAAACGGAAATTTGCTTTCACGTTCCTCGTGAATAGGAATTCATTCCCATTCTTTGTTCTTATATTTAAATAGGAACGCGTTCTAAACTTCGTTCCAAAAAAGGAACACGTTCTTCCCCAACATTGGTCAACGAATATTTGTTTAGTTTTTTTTATTACAAATTTGCAGGTCAATCACGTATGATATAAAAACAGTGCAGTGTACAACAAATTGCATTTATGCTTGAGTAACATCCCACCACAAACGTTTCTGTTTTAACTTTTAAACGTTCGAAGCAATGTAAAGTGCATCGAATTAAAATTAATTTAATACTCGCACAGGGACACGTCGTATATAATGACCGTTATAGATTTCATGATAATATTATAGTTTAGAGAAAATACCGCGTAAATAGTAAACTAAGTTATCGATACAATATAATATATAATCTATGTGTTTTTTGTTTAACCGCAGTACTGCAGTAGGTAGTTAATGTACTCGAAATATTTCACATTACATATAATATTATATTATTATTCAATCGTTCGGAAATTTGACTGCCGTACAGATAGGATTTTGGGTAGGTATTCGGTATATCAATTACCTGAAGTAGATCATAAAAAAAAGATTACTTTTGTCGTAAATATTTATGTTCAATGCACATACCTGTTTTTTAGATTCGGAGCGAAGCGAAGAATATATTGATTTTACAATGATGTTTATTTTTTGTTTTTGTAGTCAACTTTTCTACCAGAAATCTTGCCGTGATGTGTTAAATATAGCACCTTTCTGAAAAGAAATTCAACTCGTTACTACTTTAAAAAGGTAATTTTTTGATTTTCCAAGCGGTTTTCATAATAATTGGAAAAAACGGGAAAATGTACATGTATAAAAGAAACTTCACTCCAAATCGTTTTTCGTTATCAATGGTTTATCGATGCGTACGGATATAAATTAAATTTCCTTCTATATCCTACCTTTTCAACTTCTCACCTAAAACAGTGGCTAACTCATTATACCAATTATATATTCGTCTTTTTAAATTTTTATTTTTAGTATTTCTTATACAATTATAAAAGTTATATTCATAAAACTCTAAACTGTATTAGTGTATATTAATGCACTATCAATAAATCGTTTTTTTTTTTTTCATTTTTTTGACATTTTGAACTGTAAATAATCGAAAACGTTCGTATTGAAATTCGGAGTTTTGACTTGTTTGAAAAAAACGTTTTCATTGATAGGAATTTAATATTCAGCTATATTTTTAAATCTATAATATCAATATTATATATTATTCTTCAATAATACTTGGTTTGAATCGTTAGCTTTAAAAAAACGTTAGCTAAATAGTATATTTATTATATTTTATTTATAATCGTAAGTGCTAATATTATATTCTTAAAACACCTTATCGTTTTTATTATTTTTTTTTTTTTAATAAGATAAGGTTAAGTGAATTTATCGGCCAACTTTGAAAATAAATAAATATAATTCTTACAATTCATGTTTTATTCACTTTTTATATACGACTCCCAAATACTTATTTTATTTACTTGCTCTGATAAATATCAATAATTAGCTAAACTTAATAGTAACCAATATTTTACTATTATTATAATTCAGTATTAATATAACTAATATAATTCAGTACAGGCAGGTCCCTGAGGAAGGGGGGGCGATCGCCCCCCCCCCCAATCCCAAGAGGAGTGGACTTTTTTTTGAGAGACAACATTTTTTAGATTCTAAGTGTAGCGAAAAACGTATTGATTTTACAAAGATGTTTATTTTTATATTAGTTAAGTCGTACTTTGCGATCAGAACAAAAAAAATTAATTTAATGTAGTCAATTTTTTCATAAGAATTTTAATATCAAATTTTGACGAAATTTATTTTAGTAAAAAATTATGTGGAACAAATCTAGTTACCTCAATTAGTTGCATTCAATTTCCTTCTATATCCTACCTGTATTCGGCCGAAAATATTTTGTTTTTAGTAAAATGGTTGAATTTCGAATAGGAATTTGTCGAAAAAGACATTATTAACAAAAGTTACAACCATTATAATATCCCAAAAAAAAATATTTTTGGAAGACTCTCCCCGTTAGAGTATTAGGAATATTATTACCTATTGTACCAGCTGTATAATTATATTTATTGAAACTCTAAAAACTACAGTATTATCAATACATGTTCACGGATATTTTGACGTTCAATTAAAATCATTTAAGATAATGGTAAATGCTGAAAGTGCGGGTATATGATTAAATGTATAAATGTGTAAGTATAATAATATTATTACAACGTTTGTACATTCAGAAATAATATTTTGACCTGAAACGGAGGAATTTCTGTTACCCGCTTACCTTCTATGACCTATACTACTTTACACGCGCATTCGGTTAGCAACTATACAGCGAGGCAATATATTTTCATTAGTTTCAGCTTTAGGCTTTAGCGGTTGTTTCACCTGCTTAACCGTTTATTTTTTTCTCCCGAATGATGTAATAAAGGATTGATTTTTGCCACTGTGAACAATAGCTATGTATGGTAGCTTTCACGCGTTCAAATACATTTCGGAATTTTATTATAACTTTCATTATGGGTTGAAAAATCTGTTTTTTACAGCGTATTATATAAAATATTATTAAGTCCAATATATTTTAGCTTATAATGTAATATTCGATGTCCAAAATGGGTACGATATTGAAAAGTATTATTGGGTTATAACTAATTATATTTTTAACCAAATGCAATTTTTTTTTTTTTGTACGTGTTGCGATTTTATCCAAAAGAAAAAAATATTTCTGTTTTTTCTTTCATCTGTATCTGATTTATTCTGATAGCTTGTTTTAAATAGGGAAACAAATTTTAAATCCCTAGTAGATACCTATGTAATCGTATCGTTATTTTTGTTAAAACTTATATTAGACATAGTACAAATGTAATATATATATTTTTAAACATAATACAAAATCTCTTTTAAGTGGGTGATTTTTAGAAAAAAAGCATATAAAAGTTTACTGGAAGAAGTTATACACATTTACAACAGTAAATAGTATTGCTAGTCCGGCACTAGTGTATTTTAAGTAGAGGTCAGATTTATATTCTCTTAAAATACCAGATATATGATAATTTGTGTCCCTAAAATGGCAAAATATTCTTTTAATATTCCGAAAAAAAAAATTTAATTTAAGTTTTCAGCTTAAATGCTGAATTAATAATTTGTATCATTAATTTGATTTACGACATTTTTAATTTATTCAATTTTATTTATTTTACAGTCATAACAGCTCGTGACAGCTAACGTTATTTTATTATTTCTGACGTGCTTTCGCCATCGATAAGAAATATCTAGTGATTAATTTTTATTACAAACCTAGATGGATATAAACATAATTTGCTCGTAAAATAAATTGTATTTGTTGATCAATGTTATCAAAACGCTGATATACGTCCATACAAATAATAGAAACGAAACTAAAAATATTTATAAAATATTCTCAAATATTCCCTAATATTGAATATTCTCTAAACCCTAAAATATGCTTATAAAATATAGCAGAGAGGACAACTTGTAGATATTATTTATTAAGGATTGGGTTTCAAATAGACGAAATTCTAATTCAAATTTTATAAGACTAATTGAAGTTAATGGATACAAGTTACTATTAACAAAGCGAATAGGCATATTTTGCTGTAGCTTTTAGGTGTGGTATTCAGCCTTTTCTTCCTTCAGAAAGTAGATCAGTGACCTATAGGCATCAGGAGTGAGGGATTTTATTTTTAGCCGGTTTGTATAAAACTTGCAGACAAAGTTGTCAACGTCAATTAATTCAATTAGTTTTTTACGTAATTCAAGATAATTATCTATATCTCTTACAAAAATTGAAAGAAGGTTTTTAATTATTGATATAGTAGTTTTTAAAAAATCAGCAGTATTCGAAACAGGATATTCATCCAGAACTATATTCGGATTTTCTTCCAAATGTACATCTGCAGTGAGAACTTCACAATAATTTTCGATGAAAATAATTTTTTTAATTATGAGGTTAAACGTTCAGCAGAGAAGCTAAAAAGCTACCTCTTATAAGAATATTATGATAACCTCCATCAGGTAAAATAATGATTGTAACATATTTTTCATTTTTCTTGGTACCTATTAAAAATATTTATCGAAGTATTGAATGACCTGTTTGTGTGTTATTATTTTTCCATTATTACTGTTACTCATTTTAAATGATATAATTAAATTAACGGTAAATGTAAATATAGCAATAACAATGACGACGAAACGATAGCGTTATTATACAGGATTTATGCTATATAATATAAGATTGCTGTGCCACATCGTAGGCGTCCTCCTCCGATAGAAACATTAAATGCGTAAATTCCGCACGTTATTGGAGAAAATATAAAACAAAGTGTTGTTCGTTCTTATGGCGTAAACTGCATGCGCAGTTTAGGAGGGTAACTAATTAAAAAAATATTCGAAACACGACGTAAATAAACACATCTGTACCGGTCAACGACTATCGTGGAACTTAGAGAGATGTAATACAAATAAATATATGTGCCGACTTGTTAACAATGTCTAAACTTTTATACCATGTCCAGAATCATATTTTTATTTTTCACTCAAATTACGTAAATCTGATTTAACAAATAATGGAACAAGTAACACATGAATTAATCACGAAATCGATTATTATTTCAGTAATTAATGTTGGAATTCGAATAAAGTTGCGCCTGCAGTGTTGTTAAAATGTCATCGAGCCAAAGTGAACCCGGATTGCCACCCGCAATAGATCAACATCAAAACAAGAAGGTCACCACGATAATTATTTACCCGACGGGTAAGATTTTAATGAAAAATCGTAATAATATGAATAGAATAGTTTAGCGTAATAACTAATAATCCACTTGTTGTTATTTCAGTGACGCCGGAGACGATAATCATACCTATGGTATCATGTATTTTGGGTTTTCCACTGTTGGCACTCATGGTGATATGCTGTTTAAGACGAAGGGCCAAATTGGCAAGAGACCGGGATCGTCGAAGAAATTTGGGGTGAGTACGTTAAAAACATAATTTTACCATAAGTGCAAGTTATAATTCATTAATTTTATTGTTTTTATGGTGAATAAATTGAGGAAATTGCAAAAACTTCAAATTCTAATCTCATCACTGACTTTTTCACAACGTTAAGATAATCAACTGCAGTTTTACAGGCTTTTTAAACAATCGTTTTATAATGGTTTTTACTGGAACTGCAAAACTGATTTGTTTGTTCTTTTTTAAATAATAATATATGCTAGAAAAATAGATAAATCTATTAACAAATTCGCTGAAATGCATTTGACTTTTAGTTAACTTCCACAAAAAGTAAAACACGTCATACTAAAAATAGCCTCTTAACCAGTCAATTAAACACAAATAAACACTGGTGTTTCATAGAATATACTACATAAATGCCACATATTCTCAACAGTTTTTGGAAAAATTATGTGTAAACTGCGTACATTCTCAAAATAGTTTTAGGTTCTGAGTTGAGCGAAGAAGCTTATGGTTTACAAAGATGTGAATTTTTTTTTATCTCTTAACAACTTTTATACTACAAGACTTACTCGGATTTCTAAGTGTAGCGCCTTTTCTGAAATGAAATTGATGTAAGGAGGTACTTTGAAGAAGTCATTTTACGATTTTCTCAAGAGTTCTCTCATCAAATTTAAAAATGGGCATGAAACATGGGTAAAATATTAAATCGGAATAGAAAATCGATACAATATTAAAAAAATATTATTAAAGAAAATATATAAAGCCTATTTAATATTAAATATATATTCAAAATAGAGAAAATGTATAATACAAAAGTTTGTCGTTTTATAAACACCTAAAATTATTTGTATATTTCTGTTTTTTTACTGTCTTGTTTTGGTGGGGGTTTGGGGGTCAACTTTTGAAATTAAAATGGGGACCTATATTCAAAATACTATAAATAGATGGAATTTCAGTTTAAATACCCTTTAGTGTTGAAATTGTTGATCTCCGTCAACCTGTTGACGAAATATTACTCTTTTTAGTTTAGGTAAGGGAAGAATTATGAACCACTTTTCAAACGTCGTACTTTACTGCTACGTAAATGCATAATTTTCCACTACTCTCTTCCTGCCTAAACGTACTTAACTAAAAACTGAACAATTCATCATCGAGTTGACGGAAATCACAAATGTCAACAGTTTATTTAGACTAACACTACATCTACATATTTATGGAATTTTAAATATAGGTTCTCATTTGAATTTATCCCCTCCCTTCCCTCCCAAAAAATTTTAAAAATTATTTTAGATATTTATAAATCAAAAATCATTTGTAATATACATTTTTCTCTATTTTGAATTTTCTTTTGATAAAATAGCTGTAACATAAATTTAAAACAGTGACGTGAAAGATTTAATCGGGGTAGATGGCAGGTTTCTTATTTACTGGTATGGTCTAAGCAGGAGAGAAGATAATAAACCAACGCATAAAAAAATCTGGATTTAGTTTTGATATTGCGTCGACAGTACAGTCCCTTGCGGCTGTTTATAGCTTTATATCTTTTTAATACTTTTTTGGTTCAACGAATTCAAATTTACCTAAACCTATTAACCTGTTAAGTAGGTATATCATATTATTATAATATAACTGCAGTAAAACTCTTTATATAATCACATATCCCGTATACGGAGTGTGCAAACATAATATTTTATTTTTTTATATGATAATCACAAGGGAAAACCTCAAATTTTCTAATACGGTCTCGAATCTCACACTGCGTGAAAAAAAATTAAACAAAGGTATACCAGGTGATCCATTTAAGTGGGATTGACATTTGTTTTAATTAATACTCCATTTATTTATGGACTTTTTAATGTGGGTTGCCATTTGAAAATCAAAAGTAGGTAGTGGCATTATCCCCTAAAATAAAGGTGACAAAAAATGACATAAATATACAATTGTAGAGCAGCTTGTTTCTTAAATATTCTAAAAAACAAATTTCGGAAAAAGTTATTACTTTCCGAAATAATGAGTGAACCCTCTTAAATGAATCACCCGGTTCATTGAGTACAGTTCAATGTATAATTTATTTTCTTTTTCCCGGTGACATGCGCTCGACAAGGAGTGAAGAGACTACCATTGAATCACAACTAGGTGAACCTAGTTTAGTGTATTGATTTATTTATTAATATGGACACCCCAAATGATAAAAAACAGATAATATAAGTAATAATTATAAAAATTATAATTATTTTTTAAATACAAAATTAATTTACTTATAAAAGTTTAATTTTGGAAAGTAATCTACTATGGAAATCGCATTTCATTTTTTGTTTCTAAATGGTCCAGTTTACTACGAGTGGGATTCACGCTGAAGTGGAATACGGCTGTTTTCTGTTTGAATCAGCAGCTACCAGTTGGTTTTCACGGATGACTCCGTTAAATCAATGGAGGTGGGTTTCTCCTTTGTTTTTCATGATTTACTTTCTTAAATGGCTGCCAACTTATTAGTTTCAGTCTAACTTAAGGTTAATCAGTTGCTCTATGATTGTTATGTTTACTAGACTACGCATGGGCCACAATGTGCTACAAAAACATATCCAACATTTAGGTATGAATAGCAGTCCCGCTTGTACCCTCACCAGCTGCGGTGGTGATTGTTGTGATTTTCTCCATTTATTAATATATTGTCTTCTTTCTACTTCAATAGGCTAAATTTAAAAAAATATTTTTCTCTCCTCCAACAAGCGGGGAATACGACAGATTTTAAAGAATGATAAAATAAATAGTGAGTAGGTTTTATGAGAAACCATTTACATTCATTCAATAAAGTCGGAATAGAAGCAGGACCAGATGTAAAGACAGATTTTAACGTAGTTGATGCATCAAATACCTCGACTACAGAAATATCACAATTGTTAATATTAATAATATCTATAATATTTTTGACAAGAGAATCATCGAAATTAGCAGATAAGTACTGAATAAACAGATAGAAATTAAAAACAGAACAAATTAGCAATATCCAATGGGCTATACGATTTTTTTTATCTAAGTAGTGAATAGAATCAGGTATATCCCCATTTTGTAAACTTCCTTAAGTAGGTAACTACATAAATAACCTAGGTTCCTAGTTAAAGATGATTGAATATTAGTTGAGTAGTTAGAAACATATTTTTGACTAAGATTTTCACAGGTTTAACGGAGGGGTTTTTTGTGGATTTTAACGATTTTTAGGTAGCTTGTTTTTCTTTAAAGATGTTTGGTTGTAACTAACTACTGAATAACATCATTTAAAATACGATAAAAAACAGATGTGGTCTTATTAACACACCTTTAATTGTATAATTTAGATCAATCATAAACAGTTAAAACTAGAAAAATTAAATCAAAATTAGCTGATTTTAAATTATAATTTAGATTATTAAATCTGTACGAGTTAGTGACATCAGTGAAACTACAGGGTCTCAAAACCTCAGATATACGGGCTATGGGGTCTTAACATTATTTGGCAATCTCTCTCTAAACAAAAACATCTTCACCCGAATCTATAGTATTCTATACCATCGTATGAGCGAAGCGAGATATGTATTGATTTTATAATGAAGTTTTTTTCTTTCTGTGAACACTTTTTCTACTAGAAAGCTTACACAAGTTATCAAATATAGCACTTTTTCTAAAATAAAATTTTCTCTGGGTGGTAATTTAAAGAAGTAATTTTTTAAAGTTCTCATTAATATTCGAGATGATGAGGAAAACCTAGTTCTTCAGGTTAAAAAAGATTAAAAATTAAAAATAAGGTTTTCATTAACAACCGTTTTTATTTATCTTTTATTGTTATTAAGTTTGTACTATTTTAATAGTTTCAAACAATCATTGTTATCATGGAAACGCACATTGTTGTAACCATTACATACCATACTATAATATGACATATATATTGTTAACAAACCAACACTGTCAACTGAACTCCGCTCAGAATTGTTTTTTCATTAGCATTAGTTTATCTTTGTTTACAGATATACATTAAATTCCCGTCTTTATCCTACATTCTCAACTTTCTACTTACAACAGTGGCCACATCTACGTGCGAAGTATATCCATCTTTTTTGTATTACTTTTGGAAAACTACAATACTCTTAATTAATATTAATTTATTATTTTGAAAGAAAGTACTCAAAAATTACAAAATTTTCTTATATCTAGCTATACAAAAATTGTACGTATTTCGAGATGCGTATTTAAATCTGGAAAATAGATATAGATACTGAATTAATTTTATTCAAATTATTACAGAACACAATAAATATATTAGTAAACAATTGAATTAAAAATATAATCAAAATTATCACACAAAGGTATATTATCATTTTTTAATTGGAGCAAGATTTCTGTTCGAAAATTTGATTACAGACAGAAAAAAAAACATACATTATAGTAAAACCAATTCTAGCAAAAACTTAGATTCCTAGCTTTTTCCGAATCTAAATAACTTAAGGGCAACAAGAAATCATTCTTATACTCACAGGATTTTTTTTTTCTTCGGTATAATTTACCATCGTCTGCATCACGGTACATGCGTTTCGATTTCGAATACATAAACACAAACTAAAAGAAATATTCCACTCTTTAAAATTATAAAGATACACATAATAACAGTATTATATTAATGAGAACTCGTCTTGCTATACAATATAAATAATATTATCTAAACTAAAATATTCATTTTAAAATGTTAAAATATTATAAAAAATATACAAGTTAAACTTCGAAGTGAGTATTATAAAACGCATTAATAAATTTCCAGACACAAAATAATATTATCAGTCAGCCAAAATGGCTCTCTCACTAATGAGAAAATAATATGATTTTTAAATTTAGGACGCGACAGGGTCGTAATTTAATATTAAATTTCTCATCGTATACCGTAAAATACTTGATAGAGCTACCTATAATATTACCTATATTAAGTGTATTATAGATACTTCAGTAAGATTGGTATATTTTATAGGTGCACAATACGCATTACCTAATTTGAATTTATATTCAAATCGTACCTATTTATTTATACTCGATATCAGAAAAAAAATATAGATGATTAACCTTGGGAATATATAAACGAATCAAGTATAATTTCAGTAGTGTATTTTATAGTATAGTTATTTAACACTATACTATAACTACTACAAAATTATTGTAGTTATTATTTTGTTTTTAAAAATATACAGTGATTTTTTTTTACCATAATCCAGTGATTTATAAATACGTGTTTTACAGAGAAAACTCTCATGCCTCATGTAAACTGATCCGACAACGATCATTTAATCTTTGCTGAAAGTGAAAATTTCCTCTTTGGCATTCAATATCGGATTATGTAACTAAAAAATTAGTTAAAAATGAGTTGAAAATTAGCCAGATTAAAACTTTCAACTAATCTGTTATTATAGCATTTAAAAATATGATTTTCAAAATCCAAATGCATCCTGTAAGAAATTATCCTTTTCCTTACAAAAACAATAAATTATTGATATCACCGCTCTAAGAGACATAAAAGTTTTTTCTGTACAGTATGTTTGTATACAAGTATTTTTAACCTGTTCTATATAAAAAAATATGTGTTGATAAATCTAATTGACTGTAAAAAGGAAATTGCATAGGAAACTATTAGTTTTAAAATGCTGTTTATTTTTAGATTCCGAGCGTAGCGAGGGAGCTTTTGTTTTTACTAAGATGTTTATTTTTTTTTCTTTCTTTGTTCAAGTTTATGGACACGTTTTTTCCTAGTAAACTTGATCCAAATTTCACGGGTAGCAACTTTTCTGAAAGCTCAAGCTGTCTAGATTGGCAAATTCATATGTTTAACAGTGTTCATTAGGGTGTTCCTTAATTTTCAATTTTAAAATATGTTTTGGTATCACCACCTATATACGTGTGTATATATATAAAAATGAACTACAAAAAAATTTCAGGTCAATCAGATAAAGTTAACCCTTGTCGATTTGAACTTAAAGTTTAAATGAGATACATTTTTCATTATTTACGAACATTTTCAACATCTGTAAATATTTCGTTAACTATTAAAAATATCGACAGTTTTCATCTTAAAAATATTAAAGTAAATTAAATTTCCTACAACTGTTATAGAAATTATTTTTTTCATATCTCAAACCGTTCAAAAATGTTTGACAAAATATATAGGTATGAAAATTTAACACTTTAATTAATCACTCAATCTTTTAAATTACATTATCACTATATCTTTGGAGTTCCGCAAAATTATCTAAAACTAACGAAAATACAAGTATTCCAACCACGAGCTCTCAAACTATATTTGCTGCACCTCCATACGTTTCTAAAGTCACACTTCACAAAGATACTTGTCTCCTTACAGTTAATGTAGCAGCCAAACTCCATTACAAAAAGTTCAATAAGCATTTCTATGAACATCCTAATTCTTTTATTGCTAACCTATCTTCTGACAATCTTCTCAAAAACCCACCCCGTCGCCTGAAAGAAACTAGTACAGAGCTCTTTTAAATTGATTAAATTTTATTCAAATTTGTATTTTTTTTCTCCACATTTATTTGTTTTTAATCGCCAATAGAGTTCAATAGACGTCATCTCCACACTTGTTATCCCCCTACCCGATTTTTGGTGATCTTCTTGTAATCATATTGATTTTACTAAAAAAAAATGAATTTAAAAATAAATATTTGTAGTCCTTATCCCTCTGACTAATATAAAACAAATCAGAATTTGATTATCATTATTATCTCTGGAGTAATTCAAGGGGTATATCTTCGTGGAATAGTCTATATAATATATAGACCCAAAAATATTTGATGTAAATGACTAGTCATGTAGTTTATACGATAGATGAAAGAAGAATTGAAAAATATATGTAATAAAAAGATACGGACACACTTCACATGCTGGGTGGGCCACTGTTGTAGGTGAGAAGTTGAGAAGGTAGAGTAGAAATTTAATAATACGCCTCCCGCCATTCAATGGTGGTCAAAATTCTATCTACAAAGGCCGCTTTAAACTGTAACAACCATAATTATGTGTAATAATTGTGTACTATAAATGTATTTATATTGCATTTGGGCAACTGTCCGTCTAAATAAAATAAAATACAAATAAAAAAATAAAAATATATTGTTGCTGTGTCAACAACATTTAGGTCATAAAATTATGGTAAATATGGCATTATATATTTTCTTTAATAATATTTGTTTATTTTTGTACCTATTTTCCAGTTTTCCCTGCATTTTTTCCCGGTTTTTCCTATTTTTTTCATGGTTTTCCCATTATTTATGAAAACAGTAGAGAAAATCGAAAAATGATCTTCTTTAAGTATCAACCCAGTCAGATTTTTTTTCAGAAATAGTACTATAATTGAAAATCGGAGGAAAATTGCTGGTATAAAAGTTGTTCACATATAAAAAAAAAATAAACATCATTGTAAAATCAATACATTATTCGCTCTGCTCAGAATTTAAAATGTTGAAAAATTGAATACACTTTCATCGTGAGTAAGTTCTTTTGTTTTGGTTATTAAGAAAAATAATAAGATAAGAATATGTTTAAACTCAAGGAATTTAAACAAAGCTATTAAAAGTTCTCACTATCCTATTCCTACATTTAAGGTTATTAAAACTCAATTAGCTGGTTCAAAAGGTTTTTCAACGCTGGACGCTAACTCTGGTTTCCGGACGATACTATTAAACGAAGAAAGTTCTAATATTTACTCTTTTAATGTACTTTTTGGTAGGTATGCACATGTGAGATTACCGTTTGGTTTAAATTGTGCTCCTAAAAATTTTCCATCGCATAATTACGAAAAGAGAACATGATGAGTGACTAAAAAAAGTGTTTGATAGAACCATAAAAGTTTCTTCAAAATTTAATAAGAAAAAATGCAATATTAATAGCACAGAAGTTAAATTTATCGGTCATACTTTTAATAGTGAGGGGGTAACTCCCCATCAAGACAAAATTAAAGAAATAGTGGATATGCCGAGTCTAAAGTCAATCGTAGTCCACCTATCCATCAAATACAAACTAACTTAATAATTCATCAAATAATAAACATATTTTTTATTAAATATATACACATATATTCATATTTTCTTCATCTAATTTCATCTATGCCAAGCGGCAACACAACATGTAGTAACACAACAATATGTACATATCGTGAACTTTATACTTTTATACGATTTACTCGTTTTGTATTAGTTTTGTTCGTCAAAAAAAAATCTTATAACAAACATGAAAAATTATGGAACTATTTTAATAGGTTATAAACTTTTTTCGTACTTTCTATTACTATTAAAGTGTATTCTGAAGTTATTTAATACTGTATAACAACTATATTATAAAATCGCTCTATAATAATACGTAATTTAATGACTTACAAAGAGTTATATTTTTGTCCTTATAATCTCAATCTAATATCAATAATATAGTGGGTAAAACTTTCGAAACTCGGTTTTACAGTTAAATTTAAAATGTTTAAGATTCCTAACTTGCTGTTAAAATATTTAACCAACCATGCAGACGCTCGGAATAATTACAGCACAATATTATATTATATTTTGTACAATTATTTATTCATGTATGAGTTAGGTATGATTTAGGCTTAACGTGCTCGCTCCCGCAACGTTTACTTGAATTGTAAACACACATGTTTTAGTCGTACTTAACACATGTTAAATAAGCACCATGTACTTAACGACACTTAATTTGATGAAGGTAGCACATTATATTACTGTACTTACTTAAATGAGAATACGTTTACGAAATGTGACCAAAACACATTGCCTTTACTTTCGGTCGAGTATCATGTTTTTTTTTTTTTTTTTAAATTTATGTCGTACATACCTACGAATTATTTAACCGCATCTAATACATATAATTATAACAATATGCTCCGATCTCAAAAACTATTATTTGTGTGCACTTGAAGGTTTTCACTCCGTCATACAACAGTATAACAATACAGTATAATATCACAAAACACGGGTGTCGTCTCAAAGGGGGGCAAAATCAGGAGGTTTACAAATAAACGTAAAGTTCGTTTGACACCACCGAAATTCAACAATAATGTGCACATAAATTATCTATTAGAGTAAATGTCCAAACCCAACCTCCATTATATTTACCCAAAATAATATTTGTCCAATATTTTCAATCGTCTCGTATCTTTTAATATTTAAAATATATCATTTTATAACGAGCAACTTTCTCTATTTCGTATATTTTTCGATAAACAAGTTCAGAAAACAAAATATTATATTGTTGGAAAACTATAATAATTATTGCTTCCTGCAGTTTTGTTCAGAATAAAGTGTGTAACCCAATTAATTTATACAATTTAAATGAAAATGCTGATGCGTGGTAATAATAATATTATAATCAATACGCTGGAATTGTAAAACACTTTAAACATTGTATTCCATTTTTTTTTTATGAAATAACCCAATTAATAAATTATGACACCTAACCTACCAACTATTTCGAACACATTGTCTGAAACATTATTTTTAAAAATTTAGAAGTACGATTTATATACGATTTATATTATTTATATTTTTCTTGAATCTCAATATAGTTTCTAATACTTGGAACAAAATGAAGGTACGTTGGAATACTGGTAAATTGGTTTTATCTTTATTAATTTCTAGATTTCTGGGTTACCTGAAATACAAAGAAGAAAATACGACTAAGACTTAATTACAGAGATTCACTCAGAATCGCTTTTGATTGCAATGATTTCTAATTTTTTTTTTTTTTTTTAATTCAATCAAAATTATCAAAATTTGAACAACAGTTCAGTGATAAGAGACAAATCAATGTTTAAAACTGTATACAAAGCCGGGCAACTTCGCATGTGGGTGCAGATACTGGTATTGGTAAGAAGTTAGGAAGGTAATAGAGGAGAAATTTAATATATATTTTTAAGCAACGATAAATCATTGCTAACGAAAACATGATTCTGAGCGGAGTTTAGTTGATAGTGTTGTTTTGTCAACAATATATGTGGTATGGTAAACTAATTAAATAGGCATTATATATATTCTTTAGTAATATTTATTTAATATTGTACCTATTTTCTCGTTTTCCTACGGTGTTCCCATTTTTCTCGTGTTTTTTCCCGATTTTTCCATCGGAAAACTCTCGAGGAAAATTAAAAAATTACCTCCTTAAAGTACCTCTCCAGTCAGATTTCCTTTTAGAAAAAGTGCTATCAATGTAAATTGAAGCAAACTTGCTGGTAAAATGTTATCTAAAGAAAAAAGAATAAAAGAATCACTCTACTCAGAATCTAAAAATTAGGTGTAATAATTTAAAATACTTATAATTTATTATAAATGTGACATGTGAACATATCTTATTTTCTACATTAAAATTAATAAAATCATATCTTTCTATTGGAAATTCTATTGGCCAGTTAAGATTTATTGATTACCATTATCATTTTACCATCACGAAGTCGAAGAAACAGTTGAAGAGATAATACAAAAAACTGTTATTGAATATTACTTATATTAACGTGATATTAAAGACTGATTAAATGATCGAGAAAAATATATTTTCAGGTATCTATTTAATTGTATTTATTTTAGATAATATCACATTTATCGAAAAAGCTTAACTGGCTGAACAACAAAATTGAACCTTTTTTATACTTTTTACAAAAAAAAGGTTACCTATTATTGTTCGATTTCTATATATTTTCGTTGTGTGATTAATAACAGCGGCAAACAAATCATTGAAATTATTGAAGTACTTGTAACAATATTATTTAAAGCATCGCAAAACATTGAAATATTACAAGTACACCACGCAGGAAAAATTCCCAGTGGGCCCCTGCAGTCCTTGCCATAATAAAAATATTGTTATATTTGTGTGTATTCATAAACTATTGAGAACACATCAAACAAATTCAAATTTCTAAAAAAATCGTTCAATAGTCTCTAACACAGGAGTCAGCAATTAGTTTCTAAGGTGGGCCAGATAATTTGAAAAACAATTCTCGAGGGCCATATATTTTAGTAGTATTTTAGAATTGAGTAAAAAAAAAATTCAACCTATACCTATTTAGTGTTTCGTCTTATTTAACATCTCCAGAAAAAAACATAAATTCATAAATTAATAAATGTGTTTATTTTTGTATTAAAAACACAATTATTTAATTAATTATTTAATTATTTTATATAAAATAAAATAAATATAAATATACAATTTTATAATAATATACACCAAATATAATATCATAAATATAAATTACGTTCGGGCGCTTGGATATTCTGGATCTACGCAGAGACGAATAATGAAAACAAAAAACCAAAGTTAAAGTAAAAACATTTTGGCGGCCCGTTTATTTCCTCTCCAAGGGCCGGATTTGGCCCACGGGCCGCCTATTGTCTACCCTTGCTCTAACATACTCTTAATCGATTAATGAAAATTAAATATTAGCCACCACTCGGGATATAAATTCACAATAATTTCATACACATTTCATCATATTCATTTCTTACCGATTAACACACAAAAATAAAAGTTAAGCGTAATCACTAGGATTTCGATCTATATAAGCATAAAATATATACATGAAAAATTGTAACGAAAATCGGTTTCCTGCCCTCTGATAACAAATGCCGTTCTACAGCACTCTGGGACCCAGGCGTCGTACAATACCAATTCTTGATATACCAATACGAATTCTTGATAGTTGGTATAATATTCAGTAGCGCCAAAGCAGGGGGTAGGGCAGTTTCCCCCATCAAAATCATAGGGAGACATACATATTATTTCGAGTCCTCAGTAAAAAATAGATAAACCTTTAAGAATAACAAAAACGGATGTTTAAATTCAGTTTTCATTAATATTATTTATTAATCCCTCATGAACAAAAATATTATTACAGAAATTTAAAATAAAAACTAGTTTATTATTTTACAACATAACTGATATTCTAGTTACCAGTTATAATTGGTTATAATTCTGCAACATAATCACTATTCACTTTACAAATTTCAAATTTTTTCAAATTTTTTTTATTACAAACAAATGTTTCACCCTGTATCATAAACTTTTAAAAAAATGAATAAGTAGAAAAACACTTGGAAGAGTTTGGGGAAGGCTATTAAAATTTTTGGAAGGCTTAGTTCCCCCCCCCTTTATTTGTTGCTATGCATACACCGAAATTTTACATAAAAAAATGAAATGAATTCTGTATGCTCGCGTATATAGAGCAAAAGGATTGATAATTTTAGTATTTAATGTGCAGTAAATTAAACACTAACTTTGAAATTTCATAGGAATGTCGGTCGATAGACAAAAAAAAAAACACATTATCGAAATCACAATGACAGTTCAAAAAGAAATTCGATTCCGCTTTAGCTATATTAACTTACCGGACATCGTTGAGGAATGTCAGGAAATGAAAAAAACAAAACCCCTCGACGCACGAAGAAGGCTCTAAAAAGCAATTTCTGACCCGAATATGCGGAATTTAAATGCACAGAATACGCACTCCCGTATATAGTTACTTTACCGCAACAAAAATCGATAAATGTTAAAATTTCTGGATAAAAGTGTATTATACGCTTTCGTCAGCTGCTAGACGGAAAACATGAAGTAATATAAACCACCCAAAATACAGCTCGTAACAACGGATTGACTTAAATATTATTACCAACCGAGAAATAAATCTTTAAACAATTCGGCTGTATGATTTATTTTAAATTAACATGGTATACGAGTATACAGAATGATCAATCTTCCCCGAGACACTCATTTACTCGGAAAGTAATAGTAACATTTTTCAGCATTTTATTTTTCCTTTAGAAAAATTTCAGATACGCACAAAGTGTTATATTTACTATTCCCTTACTGCGCTTGTCTGCAAAAGACCAAATTAAAAAGTGATCTAACGCTGACGATGGATCGACGGAAATCGGAAATTCGTTATTTTTAATATTTGATGGATGAAAGCTAAAATATTGTCACAGGAGAAGAAATTATTTTTTATATAAAGGACAAAAATATAGACCCTTCTTTTCCCCCACAATGTGTAACATGTATTTAGAGTAAGGACTCATCTCCCCTATTTGTGTTATTATTTTTTTTTACTCTTCCACAAGTGCTTGAAATTTAAAATGTATTGAACACATAACATATTATTTTTCTTTAAATACTTATAATAAATTATGTTAACATGATTTGTGGACAGCAATGATGAACCTTTTTTCTTTGTGAACCGGAAATGGAATTGTATTGTCGTTTTCGAACCCTCACTTAAAAATATTCTTCAGTAGAAACATAGCTTAAAAGTAAAAACACAATTTTATTTTATTTCTGTAGATATATACATATTTTTAAATATGCTATAGAATATAATATTACGTATAAAATTTAAAAAGATTAGGCTCTTTGCAATGGGATAGCCCGTTTGTGAACTACTTATTACTGTTTTTCAAGCTTATTGCATACAGACTAACAGCAGTTAAACCGTTAATTAACATAAGTTACATTATATTTCGTGTGTCGAATGGTCAACGATCTACTTTTGGAATATTGACCGAAACATAACTTCCAACATCAATTGTAACTAATTTCCTATTGCTAACTTGTTTCATTTTTTCCGCAGCTTTTTTTTTATCCTTCAAAAACTTTTTCTCTTTCTTTCTGAATTTGTTTTTCTTTTAACATTACATTGTTTAAATTTTCGGTAGTATTTTTTTCATCGCTATCTTTTTCTTCGTTAATATCTACTTTATCATTTACTTCAGATAGTCATAATAGATTAAATAGTCATCATTTTGGTTCACTTCCAAATAATACTTTATAGGGGCTTCTGTTAGTTATACGATGTTTTGAGCTATTTTTTTGCCATTGTAGAAAATAACATCCCAATCTCCAATCAATGCTTCGCTTGTCTATCATCCATGCCCTCAGCAGGTTCTCTGTGTTTTGATTACAGTGCCCTACACTTCCTTGAGATTGCGGGTAACGAGGCCTTCCATGAATAATTTTACACTCTGGCCACAAATTTGACCTTTCCTCTACTACAGTCACTGTAAACTCTCGACCGTTACCGCTCTATAATATAGAAGGAGCTCCAAATCGCAAAAAATATCTTAAGAAGCTCCAATGCTCTTTTTGATTATAATTGATTATAATTTTTTTTTTGTTCCTAGTACTTGAGCAACTGCTATTTCAGGAATAGCATCCGATATTGTAGCTATTTTCTAAGGTTGTTTAACTGCATTCATTTTATTTCTATAATAAGCAGTAACTCCAATGTTAATTTTGTTTTTTACTGTTACATTTTTCATGATTAATAAATGATGATATTAAATAAATAAATTAGTAAATCACGGACTCGGAAATATTAACACAATCAATAAAATACAAATGAATTCAACTGTTTTAACGATAACGTACTAATGTCTAGTAAGTACAGTGTGCTAATGTGCTAAAATGTCTACAATGAAACCTTACAATCTACTAATTAGCCATAATCTCTAATATCAATCCATATTTAAATCCTTAAAATGGCCAGTTGTAATGTAAGTAAATAAAAATTTATATTTACTTATATTATAAACCAGATTACTTCATACCAATAAAATTGCTATATAATAATTGTAGTTCTTAAAAGGCCTAACTGCTGTTAGTCTACATGCAATAAATCTGAAAAACAGTAAACAATCGGCCGTTTGGAAAAATAATAAGTAGCTCACAAACGGACTACTCCATTGCAAAGAGCCTAGTCTTTTCGCGAAAAGACTAATTTCCACATAGCCTACGACATATATACTCTAAAAAGTATTGCGTACCTTAATAATGGTTTTTCAATTTTCACCACAGTCTCACTGAGTGTAGAATGAGCCGTGCATTTATTAGAAATTAAAGACACCGTCCTTAAATAAAAATAGGATATCCATGGAATCCAAATTACACTGCAGTTGTACATATATACAAATACAAATACAAATACTCTTCTTACATCATTTTATACTGTCATACGCAAAAATATGTTAATAACCCATTTTTTTGAAAAACGACAATAAATAAATAATAAATATATATGTAAAGGGATATCTAAATATATTACCTATTGGCTACTATCTGAAGAGTTAGTTTGAGGGGCATTTTACTCCAGTTTATACCTCATTTTTGTCAACATGTAGAGTATAAGTGTATACAATTATAAATCATAATGACATGAATAATAATAATAAATAATAATGACATGTTTGCGGGCTTGTGGCCCGAAACTAGCTAGATACCAGCCCATACTCGGTCCGATAAAGCCTGCAGATTATAAGGGGGGGGACATATGTCTCTCCTGCCTCCTTTTTGAGGTGTTTATTACTTCCAAAATTGCTTCATTGAGTAGCTTGGGCTTCAGTCCCCCAAAATCTCAAACCCTACTTGCACCTATGAATGTGAGTATAAAAATGTTTCAAATACATCGTTTCCCATATTATTAATATTAATATTTTTCATATTATTCGAGAATATTACAGTTGCGTTCACAAATTTAAATGGTTTTATCTGTAGGCATATATTGCATAGCCGTTAATGTTAAACGATGACGAGTAATATTTGAACAATAGATAGCAGCGAATACGTATTTACGTTATTCTCTGATTCAAGGATTAATTTTTACGAATCCCCCATGTATTAGTATTGATAATAGTGATATATGACAGCAAACTGCACATTATACTTACATATTTTTTTGCAGTCGATTGCAACTATGCGCTTTGTATTATACTGCTGAATATTGGAATAATATACACTTGCAGTGTCTGCACAAAAATTGGTTTATAAATATTATTAGCCGTGTATCTGATCAATAAGATTTGTAGATTCTCAGTGTAGCAAAGCAATCATATTCGTTTTACTAATAATACTAAGATAGGTGTGGTTTTATTTTTTACCCTTTATAAGTTAGTAAAAATTCTCGGAATTTTTCATGTGTCTAAAAAAATTAAATACCTGAAAACAAATTATTTATAGTTACTTTTAGCCTCAATTATAACCATATTATCAAATACCAATATTCTATAACTTCCCAACTCTTCACCTATAACATGGCCTAATGGCTATTTTTACATGTGTGCACTAGAAAATATCAAATATGCACATGCTATTTGTTAATTATAAACAATTGCATTCACTACCCTCCATTACAATCATTAGTAATCAAATCAAATGCATACGTGTGTACTGTAGAAAGTAAAAAAATTAGCCACAACAGTATAAGGTACACATCATGGTCCGAAGTATGTCCGAGCTTTTACTTAATTGTTTGCGTTTGTACAAAATATTTTTCAAGTAATTAAATATTTTTAATTAAAAACACATTATATGTATTATACAACACAACAGACCTGAAGTTAGAATATTCGGATTCACTGGAAATGGAGAACAACGGATTGTTATGATGGCTTTTAATTTTAATTTTAAATACTGGCATGCTCCTCTACCCTCATCCCACTGAGGTCCGCCTAAAATAACAAGTGGCTTACCACAAGGTGTGAAGCATATGTCCGCTATAGTTGTTAATCCGTGAATTGTTTTTAAGCTTAAAACTTAAAATAAAACCTTAATGAAATTAATAATTTTGTTTTATAATTAAACTTTTAAAAATTATACCATACCAAAAGATATTTGCTCTTCTTCTCACTGCACGAATTATTTTAAAATATTTTTAAGGAAACTTATATACAAAGGATTCTCGCCAATAGTTTTGCTATTACAACATTATTAATTCCAAAGAAAACCTTTGTTCATCGGATAAATTAGAATCATCGAGAATCCATTGTACTTATGTATATCAGGTACATGGATTCAATGGGAATTTATTTTTTTTCAAATCAATAGAATCTGATTACTGTTTTAAAAGTACCTACTATAAATATAATTAGTAATTTTATTAAAACTGCAGTGTACTTAATTATTATTCATGACGTTTTCAGTATGTAAATTGTCCTCAGAACTCTCTTTTTCCGCAATGTACCTACATTTATATAAACAATGTATAGGTTAAATAAATATAATAGTATTATTATATAGACAAATCTGATGTAATAGTAAATTAATAATTTTAAAATTCGTTTTAACGTGTAAATATTATGTTTTACACGTTTTAGAGTAATTTATAACTTTCCTAATTTCTTAGATAGGTATAATAATATATAGGAAGATTATTTTTAACAATATCCAATGGAAAGTCATGAATATTTAAAATGTATATAAAAATGAAAATATTGATGCTATATAGTATGTATCATGCATTTACATTCTAATCATGAAGACTTATACTTCAGAATTTATTTTAACACAATAATTTTCGCGTTCAAATGTAAAAATAATAATTATGCATTAAAATACTCATGTATACTGACTAGAGAAACAAAGAATGTGTTGGTTTTCAATGATATATTTTTTTTCTGTGAACAACTTTTCTACTAGAAATTTTGTTCCGATTTTCAATTATAGCACTTTTTCTAAAATAAATTAGACTGGAGTGGTACTTTAAGAAGGTTCTTTTTTGATTTTCCCTAGGATTTTTAAAATAATTGGAAAAAACCAGGAAAAATGGGAAAAATTACGAAATTTCAATTTTGTTTTTTATTATGATTCAGCTAAAAATATTCGTAGAGATTTGAAGTTTGGAAACAAAACTTATATTTGCCTTTCTAGATATAGTAAAATCTTTATAAAATTTGTGCCACTTTTAGGATATTTATAGACATTTTGACAATAAGAAATTTCACATAATTTTTATTCGGTAAGAATTATGCGACTAAAATTATTAAAAATGCTTGGAAATTTAACAGAAGGTTCATTATAAATCGTACTTTATGGTAAAAAAAAAAAAAGATTGTGCGTAATGTAGAATTTTTTTTATAAAAATTTTATATCAAATTGTATTATTATAAAACCATATTTTCACGAAAATCGTAAATATTACGATCTTCGTGAAAATATGTATAACTGAACTACGCTCAGAATCGTTTTCGTTAACAATAATTAATCATTGCGTATACTGATATACATTAAATTTCACTGTATACCTTCCCAATTTCTCACCTACAACAGTGACTTACTTGTCGCGTGAAATATGTCCGTCTTTTTTTAACTTGCAGTTCTATTACATAACATTGATTTATTATAATAATCTCCTAAAATTTAATTTCAGGTTTGCCAGAGCGTGTACTAGCGATCAAGGAGTGATATCTCTAGCGAGGTTCAGTCCGATGCATAAAATTGGTAAGTCCAAAATAATAATGAAATTCGATAATTTTTTATCATCTCGTTTACTATGCATTGTTTTTTTTTCGTTACCAAATTATCAAAAATAAATTAAAGTTTTTAATAAAAAAAAACTCATAGTTGATAATGAATTTTTGTCTACTGTAAACAAACAAGTCTGGTCTGTAGTTGTTTAAAATAAAAACCAATTATAATTATTTTACAGCATCTAGATGAAAAATGAAATAAATGATTAGGGTTCGATTTTTGAAACAAGATAAATAACAGAAAAACATTAAATTATTGTTTGAAAATATCATACCTAAATACAAAAAATAATGTTAAATAATTAAATTGTATTAAAGTTAATGATACATCAGTATTACGAACATTATTATCATCATTGAATTATCCATTTGCATAAAATTAAACTAATTAAATAAGTAAAGAAATTATTTTTTAATTTTAAAAAAGATTAGCCACCCAATATTTGGATAAATTATCTTTGAAAAAAAAAACCATTTTTTACTTAGGTATAATAAAACAAAATAGTTTTGATTTAATTTGATTAGAAATTACACGAAATTAATCTATGTGTACATAAATTATGTTTCTACTAACAAATAGAACAACGAAGCATTTACAAGGGTAAAGACTTATTACCCCTAGTAATGACAAATAGAAAATTAGAATATAATAAAAGAATAAAGATTAGACGAAAAGGGGTATATTGTTGTGCAATGGAAATAAAAAAGTAAAAAGAATTATAGTCGAATAGACCATAAGAGACTGTACAATAATATTACGAGAATGCGAAGGATATTACAGATTGAACACACATACATACAAATAGTAGCAGTGGTGATTTTGACAAGACTTCTAGTTAGGAGGTGCTTTTAAGCATAACTCCCCCCCCCATCACCTGCTAATTCCCCCAAATTATTTTCAAATCACCCTATAAAGCTCCCCTTACTATTTGCCAGGTCATTCGCCCATGAGGGGTGAATTCAAATGTCAACCACGCCCTCCTTAGTGTATCTCCGTAAGATGTATAAACTTATTTTATTTATATATTAATTAATTTAAATTAATATTTAATTAAATATTATTTTAAGCAATATATTATATAAATAATATATCTATAAGCAATAAAAAACCATTACTAAAGAAAAACGATTCAGAGTGAAGTTCATAAATACATGATTTGAAAGGCCTTAATATTTACGATTTACCTACCAAATAAAAATTACGTAAAAAAAATTGAAAAAGCTTGTACGAATATTTTAATTAAATTTCAACAAAAAAACAAAATTGAAAACAATAAAATTATTATTTTCATGCATTTTCCCGTTCTTTCTACGTTTTTTAGGTTCAGAAAATCAAAAAACAATTTTCTTAGTTGTACTTTAGGCGAAGCGGAACAAAAAACAAAATCTTTTTTCAATGCGCAAAAACGATAGGACAAAGATGAGATGAATTATATAAAGGGATTGGATTTTATAAATCGAAAACAAGACGTTCGATAGTAGTCAGAAATCCTACGCATAGAAATATAGTATATACTTAGTGTAATTAAAGTCGTTTGTATTGTTATTTAAAAAAAAATATATTTTCAATCACTTTTTGCCCTTTTTTTTAAAATTAATGCGTTACTGAAATTAAGCCGGATTGTTATTTATTAGAAAAACTTTTTTTTTTTTGTAACGATCCGTTATCTCTGTTAAAACAATTATTTTAATGAAGAAATTGCTTTTTTCTATAGGTATAATTATATCTATATTATTTGCACTATTTTTTTTTTATTTTTTTTTTTTTTCAATTGAATTAAATATAAATATTTTATATTCCGCGTAATACTCATTACGGTAAACTTATAAAAAATTAATTGCGAACGCGTATGTCCTACTAATATTGTAAATGCAAAAGTTTGACTAGATGGATGTATGTTTGTTATCCCTTCCGACCAAAACTATTGAAGGGAATGAGCTGAAACTTAGCATAGATGTAGTTTTTTCTTCAGGAATTCAACAGCTAAGGTAAGGTTAGGTAAAGTTGGGGAAGGCTGACACAGGGTTATTGATATTTTTGGTACGAAAATATAATTTATTTTGTTGATTTATAGGTTACCTTGGTGATACAGATATAATAAAAAAAAGTTAAACAAAACAAACAAAAACAATAAAATGTATTAAAATTATACTATTTCGTTTACCCGGGTTTGGTATGTATAAAACATTATACGCTTTTATATAAAAATAATTTTCAAATAATTTTTAATAAAATCGAAAATAAAACAATAATATTTCATATACGAATATTTTATTTTATTATTTTTTTTTAATTAATATTATTTGTACGAAAGTACTTTTTTCATCATCTATAGACTGTATCATTTTTTAAATAACGTGTTTTATTTTTATTTTATTAAATTATCATAAATTTACAATATACATTCAACTGATACAATTATATTATTATCAATCTCTCTTAAGAGGAGGTCATACTCCCATGTATATTTCGTACAACCTCGTGACATAGCAAATTTTTGTTCAGCAGGGACAATTGTGTACTTTAAATTTAAGAGTGGATTGACCTATTATCAAATTTAAAGATATTAACATTATATGTGTCGTCACGTTTTTTTCTTTAATATTTTAATTTTCAAAGGAAATGTGATCGTGTGAAATATCAAAAAGACGGAAATACTTCATATGTGGGTGAGCCACTGTTGTAGGTGGGAAGTTGGGAAGGTGGGATAAAAACGGGAATTGAATAGACATCTGTAAGCAACGATTAACTATTGCTAACGAAAAAACGGAATTCAGTTGATAGTTTTGCTTTGTCAACAACATTAATCTCGTATTGTGGTAAAATAATTACATGTGCATTATTTTCTTTAATAAAATTGTTAAAAATTATACTTACTTTCCGGTTCTCCAGGTTTTTCCATGTTTTTTCCCGGTTTTCCTATTTATTGGAAAAATTAAGAAAAAATTACCTCCCTAAACTATCACCCCAATCAGATTTCCTTTCAGAAAAAGGGCTACACTAGTAAATCGAAGCAATATTTCTGATATAAAAGATTACACAGATAAAAAAAATAAACATCATTGTAAAACCATAAGTTTCTTCGTTCCACTTAGAATCTAAAACATTTAAGTTGAAAAAATTGGTATTTTTATGGTGTTACTTAAATCCACAAAGAAATTACACGGATAATTAATTTGAACATTTCTTTTAATATTTTTGAATAGAATAATAACTTATGACGTGATACAATTTTGTTTATTTTAAAGTTAATATATTCTAGTACTTCAGGATAATCGATTTAGTTATTTAATAATTTTAATAGGAATTTTATTTCACTGTTATTAAATACTGTTTTTATATTTGATACCTAAATTAAAAAATTCTTCAATACATGTATATTCAGAATGTGATATTCTTTCAACACGTCATTTATATGAAAGAAATCTAAAGAAATTATTTTGAAATCTTAATAATTGTTGAAGTTGACTTGAAGAATTAGAAAATTTTATGATGAAACCATATTAGAATTAATGACCTATATAATCATTTAAAAGAAGTCTCGTCCTGAAAGTCGCAACCGGTACTTTTTAATAAACCTATATTTTACCTTACTTTTTAATTTTTTTTTTTTTTTATGACATTTAAATTGTTATTAAAAGATAATTTTCTATCAAAATAAACACTAATATCATTTACGGTATTTAATTTTTGTATTTCTAAATTAATTTGTCCATTGATACATTTTTCTGAATATACCAACCATGGATTTTATTCAAATCAGCTGATAAACCTTCAGTATCTTTTAAATTCATTATTTTCTTGAATATCTTAGCGTCATCAGCGAATAATTATATATTCGAATGAATAATAAGTTATGTTAAATCCTAATTAAATATTAGGTTAGTTCTAATTGAAATAAAGGCACAGTTTTTTAGGAATATCGCAAAAACTGTGGTAGGTGTATTCATATTTTAGATTCTGAGTGGAGCGAAATATGGTTTTACAATGATGTTTATTTTTTTCTACCAGAAATATTACTCAAATTTCGAAGTTTAGCATCTTTTATGAAAGGAAATCGGTGTAGGAAGGTAGTTTTAGGAAGTCATTTTTCGATTTTCTCAGGAGTCGTCTTAACAAATGTGAAATACCAAGAAAAAACATGGATAAAACCGGAAAAAGCGGAGAAATTGGTATAACATTAAACAAATATTATTAAAGAAAATATATAATGCATGTATAATTTTACCATATTATGGTATATATATATTGTTGACTAAGCAATATTATCAACTGAACTCCGCTTAGAATCGTTTTTTCTGGTTTATCGTTGCTTACAGATATACTTTAAATTTCCCCTCTACTATATCTTCCCAACTTCTCACCTTCAACATCTACGTGTGAAGTATGTCTTTTTATACTTCAATGTGTATAGATTTGTTATAATATAATGTTCAAACGATTACTGAAGGGAAATGTGTTATTCTTCAAAACGTACAATCACTTATCGTAATTCAATAATGTGTGTGTATAAAAATTTCTGGAGAAATGTCGGGGGCGCGTAAAATATTGGAAAATATTTTCGGGATCGTATTTTTTCGGAACAATATTTTGTAGAAACCGTATTTTGCTGGAAAATTATAATTTATATTATATATTTAAGGTTTAGTTTAAGTAATAAAAGATTAAAGTATTATTACTTTTGGACATATTATGTCTATTATCTACTCTAGAAATCATACGGGAAAAAATTAATTACCTACTTTAAGATAAACTAGTGAATTTAACCACTTGTAAATATGATTATGGTAATATCTATTGGTTTGTCCAATGGATTCAATCTCATCATCGTATATATTTGTTAATTCACAGGAATCGGATATTTCGGTATGGCCATTTTTGCGCTATTATTTCGGCGCAAGGTTATTTCATTAGTACGTTGATTTTATTTATATATTTATTTAAAGTGAATTTACTAATAGCTGCTATCAGTTATTCCTATTTGCTTTAGGTAAAGCATAGATAATAAAAACTTGGTGGACCATAATTATTATGTCCGGGCGGCGCGTTCCAAAACACGACTGTCGTTTATCCTTTACTACTTAGGCGATTATTTTTATTTACTTATATTATATTGTAATTATGTTCAATTTTTAAGTATAATTTGTACATGTATAGTAAATTCATAAATGAAAATGCACGACTACACGCATTAATATAATTTAAATTTGTTGCTATTCATCATGTTATTTATCTTAGTTATCACGTTGTAGTATCATATAAAATAATATTGAAAATAACGCCCAAGTCCACCAAATTGAACAAAAAATGTGCAGGTCTACTATAGGGATGGCTTAACCGGTCTTTATTATCAATGAAATAAAGCAATTAAGATACATCAATAAGAAATAAAACAGTCGGTCGATTTATTATCTTGCCGACGAGTTGTCGACTGAAATTGAAACTGAAACTGAAATTTAAAATGTTGTGTTCGTCCGAAAAAAATGTCCAATATACTATCAAATCGTGGTCGTAATATGTTTGTACGAAATGGTTTTATGTACTTATTTGACAAATTTAATTTTAATCATACAAAATGTTTTTGGAGGTATCAAAATAAAGATATGTGTAATTGTTGATTTCACACTGGAATCAATTATTACGTAATCAAAAAAACAATCAACGATCGTACACATGACTCCAAAGTAGCTAAAATTGAAGTTGATACTACAATTACAAAATTAAAAACGCAATTCAAACTATGCAGAAACCTACATCAGTTGTCACTTGTCATTTATGAATGTGTTGGATGTTTATATAAAACAGCTTAAGTAATTATAAAAATAATTAGATAATAAATATACAATTATAATTCATTATTAATTTAGACCTCGCTGCCATATATTAGTAGGTACATTGAAAAAAAAACAGTTCGCCAAAAACGTCAAGAAATTCATGCTACACCACATAATCCGGATGACCTTACTAAACTGGAGAGTCCACCAATATATCAAATGTACTCTCCATCAAATAAATAAGAAGAATTATTTTTACAAGTTGATAGTAACCTTGGTTGTAATAAAATATTAATTTTTGGGCGGTCTCAGAGCCTCGATATTTTAGAAAATTCTAATACTTGGTACATGGATGACACATTTAAAGTTGCACTTAAATTATTTAATCAGGTTAATGTCATACTAGCTGAATATTTACAAAGTATACTGCCTGTAATTAATATTTTACTTCCAGATAAACAATCAAAAACTTAGGAACATAGTTTTCAATGTTTAGAAATTTAAAACCAGAATTAAAATCCAAATCAATTTTATGTAGTTTAAATAAATAATTCTTTACACTTATAAGTCATAAGTCATAATTGATTAACCGTTATAATTTTTATTAAAATCATTATGAACTGTTATTATTTATGTTATTTTATTGTTATTTTAAACGTCTAATTTTAATCGCCTGTAATAACAGTTAGTTTGTTAATAGTTAAAAAATATAAAATTAGGTTAAACCCGTCCGTATTTCAACAAATACAAATATAAGTTGTGGAAATATACAATTTCTCGAACATGAAATAATAATTTGGATGAATGTGTAAAAACACCATGATATTATTATGAATGATCGTAAAACGACACAAGCTATATTAATAAAAAAAAAAAACACATTTTAACAATGTACCTAATACCTATTATTGATAGTATAAATTTATTTATTTTTTTTTTTTTATTGTTTTAGCGGTTGTATGTATTGTATTATGCCAAAAAATCGGGGGAAAAAATACATCTCCAATGAGTATAACACATTTGTTTTGTTTTTTAAGCCAGTTACTGACCATTTTTTTGTTTACGTATGTATTAAAAAATATATTGGTAAAAAGTTTCGAAATTTTAAATTAAAACAATTGAAGGGTACAGGTAAAAAACCAAAAAAGAGTCACTTTTTTTCCAAAATAACGATATTGGTGTCAAATAATTTATATTAACATGCCGCCGTATTTTTTATTCCATCAAAATGGCGAAAAAAAAGATTAGTCAAGAGGATTCAATGCTTTAAGTTTAGGCCTACAGGTAAAAAAAACAGATAGTCAATTTATAACCAGATAAAAGTTGGGTTAATATACGGCTATAACCTTAGTTAATAATATAATATGACATTATTATGTTGTGGTTACTACATTTCAAAGCTTAACATTAAACTTAATCCGAAATATTTATTTTGTAAAAAAAATTGTTACGTTTTAAAATTAAAAACAAATTTTTCTGAGTTTGAAAAAAAATTGATTTTTTCGGTATTTTTCCTTGTACCCTTAAAGTAAATGCTAAGTGTACATAATATCTAGAAATTCGTTAGTACAGACCGGTGTACTGATACGTTTTGTATCGGTTTACTAACACCCTTGATACCGATTATTTTACACCAGTATAGATATTCGACGATGGAAATCAGTGTATCCCCACCATTGTCCAAAATTAATAATGGTAATACTAACAATTAAATATTAATTAATTATTTAAATTATTGGTGTATTACCTATACTATATTTCCCATTTCCCGCTAATAATTACTTAATATAAATTAATTTAAATAGATATTAGTTGTCAATAATTAAAATATTTTTTTTATCATTTCTGTGTTCGTTTATTATTTCGAGGGGGAATTGAGAGGAAATGAAACCGGTGTAAATAGTTTACACCATATGCATGTGATAGAGCAGAAGATTTGAACCGGTGTCGTTAGTTTTAACATCAGTTACTCCAAAAAATTTGTCAAATTCACAACGGTTTGATTTTCAAGGGGAAATTTACACCGATTTGTATCAACGAATTTCTTGTTAGTATATTAAACTTGATATAATATACAGAGTGATCAACATGATGTAAGACACTCATTATCGCGGAAGATGAGATGCATCGGTGCATCGTTTGTGTAGAGGCGTGGTGCACGGCGTTTTAATATTATTGTTTCATCTCCCTCCGCCGAAACTTAAAAGAAAAGATTTAAATATCAACACCAAAATGTATTAAAACTACTCAACCTATTTATAGAAATTTAAACATAGGTTGTCATTTGAAAATCAAAATTAGGTAGTAGTTTCGCCCTTTAAAATAAAGGTGACAAAAAATAACAAAATGTAACTTTTTAGAGCTGCTTGTTACTTAAATTATCTAAAAACAAGTTCCGAATGTTGAATGTACTACGTTATATTGATCACCTTGTTTATACATATACATAGTACAATAGTAATAATTATATTAATATTTAGTTATTCCGAGTAAACGGTTGTACCAGAACCAAAAATGAAATTAATTAGAAATTCATTAATAATGATTTTTTATTAAATAAAATTTTTGATTTTATAAAAAATATTTTCTGGGTTGTACGGATTATTATAATTTATTATATTTTTTTAATACGTCATAAAAAAAAATAAAAACAATGGTCACACATAACGGTTAGAAACAATATAATAGAACGTCTAGCCTTAAATGTTGACCTTTCGTATAAATAAAAAATAAATGTTTAGCAAAATTCGCATACTCTGCTATAGTTACCTACATACAATGACGTAAAACTTTATAATTCGACAACGTATTTATTTTATTGACATATAATGTTTAGTGGTCTGTACATAATATTTGTATTGCGTGGTCAATTCTAAGGAATACGAGTTAGGCAACTTATGTGACAGGTACATGCGGGTCATGTCTATGTGTGTGAAGTAAAAAAATATTAGTGTGAGTAAGATCGAATACGTGTATCGCCACTTTCCATACCACCATAAAATATATCATTAAAATAAAATTATTTATAAACCTGCTTAAAATAAGTTTATTGTTGTACGAATAATGATAACAATATTCTAGGATAAATAATAAATAAATAGTATAGATAATCTTCTGTTGCTACTGTTTAGTCGGGCGTCATACTTAACTAGATTTTTAACAAGTAATCAAATTAAGTCTATTCTCCCATTTACTTATAATGCGATGACCATTGAATTAACAATCAAAACGAATGAAACCAAAATTAAATACCATTTAATTTGATATAGGAACATAATGTAATATATATTATGGAATAACCTAACCACGTTACGCGATAACATCAGTTTTCACATGGATCAGTAGAATTTTAAACGTCTGTTACTTTAAAACTATTCATAAGATATAAATGTGTGATACATTAAAATTTTCAAAAAAATAAACTCTACAGAATGGCTATCTTAAAATTTCCCGAAAATAATAAAATAAAAAATGTTTTTTTTATTTTTTTACTAAAAAATAAAATTTAATTTAAAAATAAATATTTGTAGTCCTCATCCCTTTGAGTAGTATAAAAACAAAAATCAGAATTTGGTAATCTTTATTATCTCCGGAGATATTCAAGAGAGGTATCTTCGTGGAACAGCCTGTACATTATTGACAAAGCAACACCATTAACCAAACTCCGGTTAGAACCATTTTTCGTTAAAGAAATATAACTCCAATCGAAAAATGACAAGAGATCGGATTTGTTCGTTTTAATATATTATAATCCAGGGATCGGTAATTAGTTTCGAAGGTGGAGCAGATAATTTGAAAAACAATTTTCGAGAGCCATACATTTTAGTAGTATTTTAGAATTGAGCAAAAAAAAAAATTTCAACCTTTACCTATTTAATGTTTTGTCTTATTTAACATCTCCAGAAAAAAAAACATAAATTTATAAATTAATAAATGTATTTATTTTTGTATTTATTATTGAGCATGTCCAAAACCACTTTATTAAATGTATATCATTCGAACTTTAAATTCCTATAATTAACCACAACTATAATCCAGTTAGATCAAAACTGAATATTCAAACTTTATTATTACTTCATGAACTATCTGATATAACTTTTATATATAAATTAATCAACGGACTTATTTGTTCTCCTTATCTTCTAAACTCTATCCGCTTTAATGTTTCTTCTGATACTAACCGTTCTGTCCCACCTTTCTATATTCCGTCTAACAGCACAAATTATCATACCAACTCCCCCTTTCCAAGAGCATTGTCGCTTTGCAACAAGTGTTCCATTAACGACTTCTTTTTTTCACCTTTAACTCAAACTTAAATCAATTTAATATTTTACTGTATATTATAGTACAAATAGACGTTCCAGAACGTTATATTTAACGCATTATCAGTTATTTTACCCACTCGACAACCATGTTTATTCTGTAAAACGTTATACCTATATATAAATTATTATTATTTATGCATACTTCAAATATTTAGAGGGTTTTGGATTCACATTGCACAGCTAAAGCTCATGTGTCATTTTAGCACTACGAAATCATTTGCGGTACCTATATAATATAATATAATATACTATGTGGTACGTGTATGTGCCAAACGGTTTAACACCACGCGAACATAACACTACATACATAATGTGTACCGTAAATATTCGACTAGGTACTCGAAAAACCAAAGGTATGTGTACCTGCGGGTTAGGTAACGAAATTTAATTATATAAACGACGAAATTCAGTTAGCTGACACTTATTGCCGAATCGAGTCAGATCTTTTCTGTTGTTATCTCCGGTGTATATGTATACCGTACCGTCATTACGATTCACGTTTTCTATATTACTTATTGCACATTTTCGTTAAAGTTGGACAGTTAAATTACAAAAAAATTACAAAAATCAGTAACTTTACAACTAGTAAATTACTTTTAGTTTTTTTTATAACTTGTAACTTAACGAATTACTTTTTATCTGAATCAAAAAAGTTACAATTTAGTTTTCATAGTTTTGTCAACGATATCTTACAACTCAGATATTTTTCCTGCGGAAATCAATACGTACCTATCATGGCTGACAAACAATATTATAAATATTATGAATTATTATAACATTATAATATACGTTTTTGAATTTTCATTACACAGCTTTATGGTTTATACCGATGTACCTACCGTAGAACGGTATGAATAGATTAATTAAAAGCCGCTCAGAATCTGAAATGGAATATTATATTATTAGCTGCTCATATATCAATATCTTAAACTGTACTATCGAAAGAATAATTGATTTTAATTTTAGTATAAATAGCAATTCATATTTTATACTACATGAGATAGTGCAAATATTGCATATCTTTATTTTGGTTCAAATTACAAACGTATTTCAAAAATATTGATGTAAATTACACGTTTAGCATATTATATTTTGGGTCAATTTTGGTGAAAAAGCACAAAGCTAAAACAATAAGGGACACGAGCAATCGTGAATTCGTGATAGTATTATTTGTAATTAATTAGATACCTCAGTACCTGCTATTACTCTTGTTATTAGTGTTTGAAGCTATATAATATCGTTAATTAGTGTATATCATGTATACAGCAATTAATTGCAATTAAAGCCAAATTGAACATCTTCTTCCGTTTATAAGCTGATGACTACCAAATAAAATAATAGGTTAGTTAGATGCTTAACTGACACACGGCAAATACGGCAGTGCATTTGTGTAATATAATCCCATCATAATAATATATAGTTACCTACTCGAATTAATAACACTGTAGTAATTATAAAAAGTTTAAAATTATAAGGCCACTCGTAAAATAATATATTAACTTGCGGAAAATCTCCCATTTATTGAAGAAAAAAGTGGAGAATGAAGAAAAAGGATTAATATGCTCTGCTCTTATTTCAAAAATACAAATATAAACGGTATAGTATACGTAAAGAAGGAAGAATAGATTACTGCAACAACATAATGAGTAAAACACCATACATGTTGGAGTTGAAATGGGTAATAATAAATAAAAGTGGTAACAAAGTCGTTTATATGAAAAGGCGATAAAGAATTCGTGTAAGTAAAGATCTCTGGGAAAACCTGAGACTAAATTTAAAAATGTATTAACAAATGACACAGAATGACTTGGTGGAGCTTTGAACTGGAAATAAAAAACAATCAGTAGATGAAGTATTGTGAAACAGGATGGTCCTTTAGATGTCTAAGAAGAACAAAAAGAAAATTAACTTTTGATACGAATTAATCGATATTAATTTTAGTAATATTACTGTCTCGGGGGTGATAATAAATAAAATTGCATCGCTGAAATGAAATAAAACCCATAATGGAAGTGGTTTCGAAAGAATACTAGGGAAACGAACGAGTTTTTCTGTATCCGCCAAATTGTCCAGTAGTTATGCGAATATAAAAAAAAGCTATGTGTTCTGATATTTATTGATTTTAAAAAAGTTTATGATCTTATCCATGGACCAAACTTATTTAACATTTCAGAAGAATACAATATTTCAATGAAGTTGATTTTTGATAAATTTGATTACAGACCACTTCGAGAACACTTGTATTAAAATTGAATTAGTGAGTTCAGTGTTAGAAGCAGTAAAAGTATCTTTTGATTTCTACCATTCACAGATGACTTATGCTTACTGGGAAATAACTTGGAAACTGTAAAACAATATTTTAGAAAGTTAATGAATGTAGCAGGTAAGTGCGATCTGAAAATCATTGAGTGAAAATAGAATAAAAATGTAATAATTAGACAGAAGAAGCAGAAAATACCAACAAGAAGAATTTATAGAAATGGAATGTCATAAGATTAAGATAGTGTTACATTTATAATACCTAAGACCCATAATAGCGCAAAATAATAATAATGACCTCTAAGATACAATTGGGAAATAGATACTATGGCCTAGGGAGCATATTTGTCTCAAAGATTTTATCAAAAAACTATAAATTGAATTAGACATGACTCTGATATGACTAGTAGTGCTATATGGTTCTGAGACAAGGACTTCGAATCAGTCACAGGGTGGTAAAGGATACCTCACAATGAGAAACTGAAGACCATGATCCGAAAACCTAGAATTATTGTAGAAATTATGAAATTACGGTCATGCTTTGAGGAAAGAGGGTTCATTGGTTAAAGTAACCATTAAAGAAAATCTGATTAGAAATAGACCGATAAATAGATCGCGCGCTTACCGTGAAAAGGCCGTGTCAACAAAGAAGTGAAAGCAATAGAACTGAATACATGAAGGAAAAAAATTGCAGAGGCTCGAGAAAGATGGTGAAAAATGTATTTGAAGGACTGGTCTTGAAGGCCGAAACACAAAAAAAAAAAGATTGTTCCACAATACCACTGGATATTTAGCGGGAATTTAAAACCGTTAACATAATTTATAACTTGCGGTGTGCAAAAAGTTTTTTCATTATTATAACGCTGTCCTATACAAAAGAAATATTGAAATATTATTTAAAAATAAAACTCCTGTCCGTGTTCTTGCTATGGCGTTTTTCACTACCTATAGTCATATTTATTTTGATTTCCTCTTGTTTATTATTGTACTTTATTAGCATCGATCACTGCAGGCGAACTGCTGAAAAAACGTCCATTTATATACGTATATATATTTTTATAATCAGACCGGTACGCCACTCATACTGCAAAACAAACACGTTTCAGAGCTCGTTAAACTGAAAGATGTTTTATTAATTAAAGTATTAGTTACTAGTTTTTTCCTCCTGTGTAACAAAGAGATAACGCAGAAATAAAAAAAAAATTATAACCGTTCTGTTGATGAGTGTGCTCATCATGTGCCACTGTTGTAGATGGGAATGAAATACAATTCTAAATGAGCATGGTTAAACATGTTTGTTTTAAAAAGCTTTGACTTTTAAGATTTTCATCAAAATTTTAGCTTAAAAAAGCTTATTAAAAACGTTCTAGGATAATAAAAACAGGAACAGCCAGTGTTATAGGTAATTTAATGTATACCTGTAAGCAACGAAAAACTATTTCTTACGAAAAAACGAAGTTCAGTTGATAGTGTTATTTTGTCAGCAATATACTCGTATATGTAATTTTATAGTAAAACTAGTTGTCCCGCGCCCGGCGTTGCCCGTGCCAATTTTTATTATTATTATTTTACCCATATTCATTTTTGGTTTTGGAATGGCCATGTTAGAATTGAATGAAAACAAATAGGTGGAAAGTGGGTAGTCCACCTGCGGCGGCCTAAATGTGATAAATTGTGATATTTGAATAGTGTAAATAATAGTGATAATAAAAATTATAATAGTTTTATCTTATAATGTGTCGGTGACTTGTTGACAGGCCAGTCTGTCTCAATGCATTAGCTCGACGGCGTTCATTGCGTTGCTCTTGACTTTCATTAGTACGTGTGATTACAGCCTGGTTTCTTAAATTTTCATTGTCCTCGATTTTTTTTTAAATGGGGGGGGGGTTGATGGATTTCAAAGGAAGTTAAGCNGGGAAAGCGCGTGTACCGTATTATAGCTAATTGCTTGTATTACTTGTATTACGGTTCAAATCAGCCCCTTTGCGTTTTGTTGGCATTGAAATATGTGCAAAACACACGTACATAGGTTAGGTTAGGTTAGCAAAATTAGTCAAATCGGCCCAGCCGTTCTCAATTGTTATTGGTACGCGGGTGCCACGGAAACCAATAATAAAAAATAACCACATAGAGTGTATATTATCTCTCCGTGGCAAAATAATAATTGTTGAATATCGTGCGTGCTAGTATACTTTGACTTAAGAGGCCATAACTCCGGAACCACTTATCGTAGAGCATACAGACTTAGATAGTAGCTGATTCTCAGACCTACTGAATATGCATATAAAATTTCATGAGAATCGATCAAGCCGTCTCGGAGGAGTATGGGAACGAACATTGTGACACGATAATTTTATATATAAGATAATTAAATAAACTTTATATATTTTCTTTGATAATATTTGTTTAATGCTATACCGATTTACCTATGTTTCTTCCTGGTTTTTCACATTTGATGGAAAAACTCTTGAGAAAATCGAAAAATGACCTCTCTAAAGTTTCTTTCTAATGAAATTTCTTTAGAATATAATTTAGAAATAGAACGCAAAATAATTTAATAAACTTTAAACAAAAAAAACGACTACATTAAGCTAATTATTTTGTGTTTAGATACTATGTACAACTTACAAACCTTGTGTAAAATTAACTGCCCAACCAAAACAAATGTTACCAAATAAAAACTATAAAAACTCGAATTTGTAAAACAAAGTAATTAAACCCTTATTTCCGTGATTTTTCCTGTCTTTTTTAAGCTAAAGTGAAAGTATTCCCCCCTCCCCCCGGTATAGAAATTAAAAATAATAACTTCTGATATCAAGAAATTTTCACGACTTCTTCATTTTTCGGACTTAATGTTCAAAATTGCAAAACTCTGCGTGTTCTTAAAATAAAATATATATACATATATATTTTAGATTCGAAGCGAAGCGAGGAATATATTGATTTTACAATAATGTTTTTTTTTTGTCTGTAAACAACTTTTCTACCAGAAATCTTGTTCCGATTTTTAAGATAAGTAATAACTTTTCTAAACGGAAATTCTATTTGGGTGGTACGTTGAGAAAGTTGTTTTTTTTTTTGGTTTTCTAAACGGTTTTTATAATAATTGGGAAAGATCGAGTAAACATTATAGTTATTATATAAACAGGAAAATTTACGAAATATATTATTTTCAAATTTGTTTTTTGTTGTGATTCAATTACAAATATTCGCAGAGACTTAAAATTTGTACACACAACTTGTATTTGCTTTTTATATATAATATTATTTTCAAAATATTTTTGCCTTTTTTGAGCTATTTATAGATAATTTAAATTTTGTACGTAGTTTTTATTTGGTAGGTTCTCTTTGGATAATATTGTTAGAATAAACAGTAATACTTAAAAATTGAACAAAATGTTCATTATAAGTCGTACTCTGTAAACAAAAAAAAATATTTAGTATAATGTACAATTTTTTTTTTTTAAGAATTTTAATAAATTTTGACGAAAACCGTAAATATTACGGGCTTTCAAAATATGTATAACCGAACTTTGCTCAGAACCGTTTTTCAGCAGCAATGATTAATCATTACGTATAGATAAACATTAAGTTCCCTTTTATATTACCAAATTACCTTACCAACTTCTCACCTACAACATACTGTGCCAAGTCATCGAGCAAAGTATGTCCGTCATTTTTACCTATAAACACGTGTAATGTCATTTGATAAACGAATTTATTTGAATACGTATTATATAAATATTTAATGCGGGCATACGGTGGTAATGGCGAAATAAAATAATTTACAATATAAATAAATGAAGATAACTAATGCGCTCACTATATTTGACAATGCACTCCGTAATAATAATATAGGATATTATGAAATATTCCGCTTTCTAATATTTAACGTTCGGCATAATAAATTATATAATAATACCCACTTGTTTTATAGAGTACTTTTTCGGTGTCTGAGAGTGTATTGTTGTTTATCAATATTTAAGTTAAAACAATATACCTAAGGTTGACACAAAGCCGAAATACAGAGTGTCCTATTCCAAAGAATGTTCAAAACGGAAAAAGATTCTAACAAAATTCCACTACTGGTGTATCCGCAATTAATTACCACGAGCAATTTTACCCCGGATAAAATTTCACAAGAGAATATTTAACTCTTTGGTCCCCAAAGTGGTCACCAGAATTAAAGCCTTGTGATTTCTTTCACTGGAATTTCATAAAGGTGAACAAATGACCATCGGTATCGAAAGATATCGATGAACCGAAGAAAAGAATCACTATAATTTAGTCGCGAATATGATTGTCACATCAGATATTATGACTATAAGAATATGAAATGACAAGTTTGAGTATCGACATTGAACACGTATACATTTTCTAAGGAAACCAAATAGAAATCTGTTATAGGTATCGTATATAATTCATTTTGATTAGTGGTGGATTAGTGTATATTTTTTTCGATTTTGAAAATATATAGCTGTTCAAAACCCAAACATTATTTTTTGAACACCCTGTATATATATATTACAGGAAGTAAACGCTAGTAAACTATGGAAGTTATGTTCCGAGAAAACAGACACCGTTATTATTTATTTATACATTTTGTATACCTATAAGACGGTAAGGGAATTATTCCAAGGCTAGCGAATTTAAACAGGTGTTTTAGTACTGGTGCTGAGTCATGACCTCGAACTATTTTTTAGGTATCTAGATATTATAATAATATTTGTTTATTTTCGGTTTCTTACAGAAAATGTTAACAAATTCCCGATTTTTTATCAGCTCAATGCTCATTGTACACGTCTCAAAATTTTAAGTTAAGCATAGACGAGTTTTTTTTTGTTCTTTAACAAGTTTTCAATCGGAAGACTCACTCCCAATAACTGACTTGAGGGACTCTTTCTGATAGCAAATTTTATCTATAATAAGATGCAAGTCATTTTTGAAATTCCTAGTACTTTTTTTGATACTGAGAAAAACATAACTCTTTCGAAAAAAAAGATGAAAAACTATCAAACGCGGGTTTTTGTCAAAAATCTATTTTTATTTTTGTCGTAGTTCCGCAGGAAGAAACACTTAAACAGTGAAATATTGAAATTTCCCCAAATCCTATAAAAACATTTTTATTCTTAACGTAGTTTGAATTTAGATTCGGGGCGGAAAAAGAATCTATTGATTTTACTATGATGTGGGCTCCTTAGATTCGGAGTGTAGCGAGTAAAATCAATAGAATTTATTGATTGTAAAATAGGGGTTTTCAAAATAATTGAGAAAACTACAAAAGAAAATTATAGATAAAACAACAAATATTTATGGCATGTAGCGGTATTACCGTTTTCATTGTTTTTAATTTTTGTAACTTATGCTTTCTACCAGAAATACTATTATATACCAATCAAAAAATGACAAAAAAATTTATTTTGTTTCTTTTGACACATATAGCTACTGAAATAGAAAGTTGTTTTTTTATATCTAAAGTATTTGTCATAAACTCATAACTCACAATACTTGGGAAAAACTAAAAAAATAACTAAAAATACGATTTTTTCAAAATATGGCACAACAATTTCGTTATTTTTAATTTGTACGGCTTATGTTTTCTACCATAAATATTGCTCCAATCAGGAGCGTTTCGAGAATTCCCTATTAGGTATCAGTTTGAAAAACTGCCGACCGCATAAAAATGACGAGAAAAAAAGCATAGTTGTAGTTGTATATGTTTATACGTATGAGTAAAATTCGAATACAAAACAAATGTACGTACTACAATATTTTATTAACATTTTATTTTTATCATCGTTAATATTTATATGAAAACCAAAAACATGATATATTGTCTTTATTTGATACAGATATGTAATGTATATAATAATTAGGGCCCGAATTTATATGCATTTGCATGTTTTTTTTAGACAGTCCAAAAAGTAGTTAGATAGGCTACAAGTTTGAATTAAGGTCAATAAAATTGAAAAACAAAATTTTATTTTGCATATTTTACTATTTTTTAACATGTAATGCATATTTCTGTATGACTGTATTCATGATTTTTCATTTCATATAAATGATTTTTAACTGCATAATATGTAACATTCTGGTTATATTTATATTAATTTAAAAATAATGATAGAAATAATAAAAGAAATATTTTATGTATTGCTTTTAAGATAAAAAAAAATGTCGAAAATACCATGACAAATCATTTGCACCTACTTTAAAAATAAAGAGAAATAATAAAAATGTACACATTCATTTTTTTTTTTTTTTTAAATTGATTTATTGCGCACATGTTGCATTTTAAAGGGTATATTTCTACAAAATAGGAGCATAAATGCTTATTTTATAGTGCATATTTCTAAGGTTTTTAGAGCATATAGATCCGGATCAAAATAATGGATTTATGTAAATACATGTATAATGTATTTTATATAATTATCTTACTACGACTCACAAATGTACAATAGTACACAATTATTTGTCGCGAATGCATGCGCTCAAAACGTTCGTGTTACCAGCTGTCAACAGTACCCCTGAACAGGCCATCGGCACGACTAGGCGGCATGCGTAATTATCTTTAAATTTAAAATATCTAACGCTACAGTACATACAACTTTGAAATATACTTTGAGATTCAGTTGAAAAATGTCTAAGTAAATTATATTTTATTATTATTATTAATGTAATGTTTAAAATCGGTAGGTAGCTAAAGATTTCTAGGAAGAAACTTGGTTTCAAAGTCCCCCTTGACTAACTAATCGCTAATGTAAATTAAACGAAAGGTAAAGAAATTACTATACACTGCGTTTGTTGCCTTAAAATATTAAACACGTATAATAGTAAATAATTATTACAAATGCTTACATTCTTACATCACACTAGAAATGTACTAAATTTTGTTACCGTGGCAATCGCCAACGTACAAATGTAACAATGCCTATTAAATTAATAATTATGATAAAAGAAGCGCTGAATCGCGTATCTACAAACACGCACACTCTTACACTCACAGTCGTCGTGTGTCTGCAACGTTCACGATAACGCGGGTATTTCCAGAATATTTCATCATCTAATCGATCTAAAGTGATCCTATATCTTAAATTTGCAATTACTATATAGTGTAAACAACTCATTAGTAATAAGAATAACTAATAAGTTTACGTATATTATTATCTATGTGCTCAACTCTATACGTCTACGGTCTGCATAGTTTATAATAATAATATTATAAACACTACCTACAACTCCAACATCAATGACGACGATTTTGTAAATAAGATAACCTTGACATTTTGTCGACTATTTCAAGTTTTTTACCAAATGTACGATTTGTCGACTGACAAAAGTATTTTGGGGTGATAAATACCCCTCCCCCGTTCGGAACGCCGAAAAAATTGTTTTAGGTCTTAGCCTTCGTTAATGTCATTATTCATTTTTCGTCGTTTTATCGAAATACTAAATGTTAAAATAACATCTTCCGACCTAAAAATTCGGATTTTAAACACATTTAAATAAATACACTAAATACATTAATTTAAGCAATTTATAATTGCTACAGTAATCGTGTGTGATAACAACAATAACAAATGTAAAACCGACAGTTTTATTGTTCTCAAATATTGGAATTCTACAGCTGACCCGTGGAATACAATTTTTGTTTTTTTTTTTCCCCGGAGCCTTCCGGTTCCGGACTACTCTATAATATAACTCGGTTTTAACATTTTTGTTCGATAAACATAAAAAATAATTCATATGTGTACTTTTTAAATATGTACAAAACCCCGTTTGAAAATTGAAAAGTATATAATATTATTTATAGGGAAGTGAAGGGGGAGTCAATAATCCGCGCGAGAAAAAGAATATTTAATACAAATGTTTAAAAAAATATTGAGTCTGATCACGTTTGTACGATATAATATTATATTCTGATGGAATTATTTATTTATGTTAATTTCGTAAATTAATGTACAATATATTGTATTGTATATGTTTGATACGTGCATACAATCGAACGATTTATTTAAGGTCTTTTTGATCCTTCAAAATCACGTGTGTGGATTGTAACATCCATGACGCACGTACGGTATAGTGATATCATTAATTTAAAAAAAGTTTTGATTTTCTGTACCTTATGTACGTTATATTTATTATTATTATTTTTTTTTTTTATTGTTCAACGAATAATATGGTGATACCATATTTATTGTACGTAAAAAAAAATAATAATTTTCCCTAAACCAATCACCGTGAGTACGGCCGACAGCTTTCTGATTCGGCCACAAATACTTCTATAGTCATATATTATAAATTATAATGTACTATAGATTGCTAACTTGTATATGCTACTTGCATATATGTAATAATGATGCAACTATTTTCCGCTACCTTTATGGGCATCACGATTGTAGATGCTATAGTTGATCAACCTACGATAAAAGTGTAAAAGTAAAAGTGTCTACCGAATTGATTCCCTGAATCAATTGGATTCTAGATTGCTAACGCTTGTGTAACGGTTCGAGACCGTATCAAATTAATAAATGCCGCGCATTTGACATTACACTAATGCCTGAGACGTAGGAAAAGTGACTGAAACTTATAATGAATCAAATAACAACGGGTTTGTTATAATATTGAACAGATAACGGTTTATATTAATTACGAACAAAAAATAAATGTTTTGAGTTTTTGACAATGAATAAATAATTAACTTACAAGAGAATATCGTTTAATATTCGATACTAATGAAATATAAATACACATAAATTGAGAGCAGTGAAAATTGCAAAGGTTAACAAAAAAGTCGTAATATTAATTTATTACAAAAGAAAAAAAAATAAGAAAAAGTCGGGCAACTTCGCACGTGGTTACGCCATTGTTATAGGTGAGGAGTTTGGAAGGTAGTGGAGGGAAAATTTAATGTGTATCTGTAAGTAACGATAAACCATTATTGACAAAAAAACGATTCTGAGCTGTATTAAGACTCCGTAAAATTCTGTGCAAAGGGTAATTGAACCCATAAAAGGTACGATGGTATGAGAAATGAAAAAGGAAATAGTTTCTGGTATAGTGGGTGGGAACACGGAATGAGATAGAAGAGAGGAGATCGGGAGAATCAATAAGTCCTCTAAGAAATAAAGATATAAAATGAAGGTCAGCTCCAGCGCGACGAGAGGCTAAAGTAGGAATTTGAAACGTGACCATCGATAGTCTGAGAGTGATTGGCGCTTACACTTTGTTCGCAATTTAGAGAAGATTAAATAATCAGAGACTCTATTTGTCTGCTTAAATACTTTATGAGCGCACTTTTTCTTATTAACTAGTACTTTAAAGGAAGGAGTAACCCAACGTGGGAGTTTAGAAGTTTTAAATATTTTCCTTGGGACAAATTGTTTAATAAAATTAAAAATTGCATCGTTGAAAACTGTGGCAGCGTCATTAATGGGGTAGTTACAAAATGTAACATCCTAGTTGAATGAGCTGAAGAAGTGAGAAATAGGTTCATAATCCCCAGCTTTAAAGTCTTAATATGAATGAGTAACCTCGATCCTCGGCTCGTTTGGATAATAGAATTTGATAAGAAATGGGGGATGGTAGGGGTCAGGATTAATAAAGGTAAAGGTGCTTTGAGAATAGAGTGAATGTTGAAGTTAGAGAAGACTAGATTAAGAATGTTTCCAGAGCAGTTGAAGATATGGTTAAGCTAGAAGTTTAAGAAAGAGAAAAAATCTATGACGAGAAAAGATAAAGGGGACAAGACTCCAGAGGTTAAGAGACCGAACTTATCGGATGACCAAGATACACCTAGTAAGTTAAAATCACCAAGAATAATAATCGAGATGGGTTTGAGAGATGTCAGGAGATTTTCGACTGTGGTAAGGTGGGATTCGTCTATAGAAATCGGACAAGAAAGGGGTAAATAAATGACACCAATCAATTAATTAATAAAGTCGATTCCATATTGATCTTATGTACCTTATGTTGTCTAGTGTTTAACACATGAGACAGCAATTTAGATTGGAAACATTAAATGTTCTCTCGTGAAACAGATTACAGCAATCTATAGAATCCAGCTATTTCGGGAAATTCAATTCGGTAGACACTCTATCCCAAGTCGATAGGCGACCATAGTTAGTAGGGACGTTTAGGTATCATATTATATGATGTATCAATATCAATATCATAAATCAATTTATATATTGGATTTCATATTGAAGATTAAAACTGTATTACGTGTGTATTACTGTGATATCCAATTGTTAATAAAGGATAGTATAGTAGAAATAATAAAAGATAATAAGATGGAAACATCGTCAATTACACTTTGCCAAAATTATAGCAGGACTTCAGCAAAACCTATCTATATAAAAATGGATCGTAATTTGTTTGTGTTTAAATAGGAACATGTCTACTTTTTTTGAAAATACTTTCACTCGCGTGTCGACGGAAAAAGGAAAATATCAGAGCTCTTTGAAAATTGGAAAATCCTCGAATATCCTACCCGCACGCGATAATAATAACAATCATTATTATTGTATGTGATAATGTCCTGTGTATTACGTGTTTTACAGGGTATAATACAAATAATTAAATAAACATCGCGCATGTATAATATTGAAGAAACTATAATAATAAAATAATAAAAGGTCCGACAAAGTCGTAAGTTTCTACGGTTAAATTTATTAATTATATGAACAAATACGATTCATCTTCGATGTTTATAAATTTATTTCAGTCTATTTTACTATTTCTCTCTCTCTCTCTCTCTCACTCTCTCTCTCTCTCTCCATTCAACCGCTGTGGCATTATAATTATGACACTGTTATAGTTTCGTCAATTATGTTCATGACTGTTTATTTATATTATTATTATAAACATAATCTACATTTTTGTTTAGATTCTGAGCGCAGCTAGTTATCTATAAACAGCATTCAACCAGAAATATTACTCCGATATTCAAGTGAAGCATTTAAAAACATATATATATCTACAGTTTGCCCCAAAAGAGAATGAGCCGTTTCTGTACATATTGAGCTCCGGCCAATTCAAGAGTTCATCGGACAGTCGTTTCTTCTTCTTACACATGGCTAGATGCAATGACATTGCGTCGTGTGAATGCATGGCGCTTACTGGTTTTATACAGCCTATAGGTGGTCCATTGAGTAGATTATTTTTTTATTTTCCTTGTTGGTTTCTTAAAATTTAAAAAGTTCGAGGGAAAAAGTAGAAAAAACTAGGTAAATATATATGGCACTAACATTTTTTATTATTTTTGATTTTGATATTTTTTTTGGTAATTCGGTTAAAATAATTTTCACGGAATATTTATTTTAACCATTTTTTGAACAAAGCTTCCATTCAAAAAAAAAATGAGTAACTTTTTAAGATCTTACTCATTTTTTTTTAAGATTTTTTTTTTTTTAACTTTTTAAGATCTTTGCGTTATGCGTATTCGCATTGAAAACTTTTACGTTTAACTTTATTTTTAAATAAAGTTGAAGCATTATATTAAATTTGCGATTTTCGTTTTGCGTTATTTGATTTATAATTTCTATATACAAATAACCCTATATATAGTGTATACATAGGGTTATTTGATTTTTTCGATCAATCGAAAATTTTTTCCTATATCAAAATAAATAATCATGGGTAACTCTCATTATCAGTAGATATACTGCATAGGTAATCTGAAATCATAAATATAAAATACTAGATAGTTATAACGTCTTGTTATACACCGAGATATTGAACATTGATACCAGTCACCATATGTAATAGTCTTTGTTTACATTTTTCATCACGTTTGTTATCATTCGTTTTCATTTCATCTTACATGTTTTATTTGTGATCGCATTAAACACTGAAGTTTATCACGGAGGTTAGTTAAACATAATATAGCAGCCTTTTTTTATAAGCATTCTATATTCATATTTATTTATTCTAAAACTGATCACTCCGTACATCTTTCTTCTCAGTCTTTTTATCGGAAAACACTTTTTAAGTTAAGTTTGAATGGTCCAAATTATTTATATTGTACACTTTAAAGATGTGGATTTTTCTTGCGATGTGATTCCCAAAAGTTTTAATAAACAATAAAAAAAAAAAACTAATAGCAAATGACGATGTACACTGTACAACGAGGGAGCTATTGGTTTTACTAAGATGTATTTTTTTTTCTTTCTTTGTTTTAGTGTCTGGACATGTTTTTTCCTAGTAAACTTGCTCCGATGTTTACGTGTAGCAAGTTTTCTTAAAGCTCAAGTTGTCTAGATTGCACTTTAAATAAGTCATTGTTTGATTTTCGAAGTCATTTTTTAAATAAAAGCACATAAGTGGGAAAAAACGGAGGAAAACGTACAATTTCGTGATTTCATTATTTTATAAAAACACGGACGACATTTTCTACCAGAAAAAATGATTTAATCGAAAAATCAGAAGATTTCTTTTTTGTTTTTATTTTTTTTTATTTACTTTTTTACGGTACCATTGTCAAAACTTTTTAGCCATTTTTGAGCTTTTAAAGAATTTTATTTTTGAGAATTATTTTGCTTTAATTCGGTAATAAATACATATAGAGACTTGAAACTTGGTAATAATACTAATATTTGACTTACATAGACGTGGTACAATTTCCAAAATCAGCGTTTTGAAATCAAATTACACGAAAATCGCAAAAAAATTACGACAATTCAAATTATATATTACCGGACTGCTCTCGAAATCGTCTTTCATCAAGCAATGGTTTATCGTCACTTACAGATGTAAATGAAATAACCATATGTATTTTACCCTCCCAACTTCTCACCTACAACAGTAGCCACTCCCATCCCTAGTATCAGCTCATTTTTATTTTTCATAAATATGTTTCATTTACTCATATTTCCATATTTCCCGTAATTTCTCTTCACAAACTAAACTTTTGAGTTTTGATATTGTACAATTAATTAAACACAATCGTTGAGTATTAACTATTATACATTATTATCTACTTGATAAAGCAAATTTTTTTTCAATATTAATTATAATGTCATTATTAGTTGAACGAATTATACAACCGTATAACAAAAATATACAGTATGCGCCCAAATCAGAGGCGCTGTTCGATGAAAAATCAATTCGATAAGGACGAGTAAATCGAGCCACTCGTATATTTCGACTAATCCGATTTTGCAACTCTGTAAATGTAAGTGATAGAGCGACCAAAATTAACATAAAAGTACTGAAAGTGTTTCTACGATTAATAATATTGGATAATATGTAAAAAAAAAAAACTAAAAATCTAATTTGACATCTGCAACAAATTAAAAATTTGTTTTTCTTTCCTTAAAATTTACTTTATCGTGGTTATATTTTGCTGACAATATTATTTTGAACTGTGTTCCGCTGCAGACACCATGCAGGTGATTATATAACCAGCGAATTTTTCGAATGATTTTTAAGGAATGGAATTATGTATAATAGAGAAAATAGAGAAAGGTAATATATTTCATATCCATTTTTTGACAACCTTTCCCTATTCCTTCGGTCTAAACTTTAAATATTTATAATATTCGTCGATTATAAATCCAATACTAGCGTGCCAGCGTGGTAAGATAATGTACATCAAAATTTAAGATTTTGTTAAGATCTCTTTCGGAATAAGGCTGATTGAAAAAGAGGTTTCTATTTAGAAAGCAAAAATGAATGTTTCTATAATCTACGGTATGCGGAATAATTAGGATAGCATGTTCAAAACAATTATGTAAATTAATCATTAAACGATTCTATAATACCTGAAAAACCCATAATATATTTTATTCAAAATGTTCATAGGATCATTATAAAACAAACAAAATTCACCTTGTATACGCTAATATTAGGTGATTTTATGCCAAAGTGCATGAAAATTGACTGGTAGAAAAAAACGAATCAAAATATTATCTGATCGAAAAATCTAATTTTTGAATTTTCAAAAATAAAATACAAATATACTATCGAAAATTAATAATGCGAGTGATTTTTCACCGATATCGAAATAAAGTATAAAATTAAATATATGAGGAAAATTATTTTTTTTTTTTAACCTTTTTCCTTGTAAACATTCTATATATTGTAGGACACAGCGAGTATAGGTATTTATTATATTTTGATTTTCAACCATGTGTTTTTCTACACAGTTCGACTAATTTTTATCGATCATATACTCTAAGATATACTCTTACCTACCAATCACACAATTAGCCTTTTCAATCGAATGACCGCTCTCCTAATTACAATAATTGTGATTATTGTAATTACAATAATCTATACGCACGTAATAATAATGATTGCCACGCTTGTATATTTCACAGGTGTATACTTAGCGGCCGGGGCGAACGCCAACTGCGGCGGTCCCATGCCGTCACCCCTGTCGTCCGGTGGCCGGGGCCATCCGTTGCGCAGCGAGAGTAGGTCGTACGCGTCCTACGACCTGGACCCCGTGATGGAGGAACGGAGTGATATGGAGAGTAGCTGCACCGGTGGCATCAGCGGCGCCGTTCCGACGGGCGGCGGTGGCGTCTGCGGCGTAATCATCGCGGACGATGACGACGTTGCGGTCGGCGGTGGTGGAGCGGTCGAGGCGCTCGTGTGCCCGGACAGTTAGCAACACGTGTTGGCCATCGCCAGAATTTCGGTGGCCGTACAGACGGATAAGCCGCCCCCGAGACCGGCCAGGTCACCGCTATGGAACACGCTGACGAACAACCCGCCGGACGAAGCGATTAGCTGACATCCGGCCGGACCCGACCATCTGCCCAAGGCCATAGCCATCATCGAACCCTGATGATGAGCCCCGGGGCACGTGTGGTGCGCTCTGGCGAGGTGGTCGGCCGGCGCGTTATGGCAACTCGTTTCTCGATCATAATATAATATTTTGACGAGCCGTAATAGCAATAATATTATTGTTGACATGGCCGATTGCCGCGTCAGGAAACCGTCGGGTCCACGGGCACGTGACGGCCGTTATATTCTACGGCGTGCGTGTGGACGAGGCCGACCGTAAACTTTCCGAGCACGTCCGTACGCGCGCATTTGCAGCGAACGCACGCTTGTCCTGTCGCCGTATAAATTGTATATATTATTATTATTATTATTATTATTATTATTATTATTATTATGGGCTATCCCTTCGGACCGAGCCTTTAGCCGTATGAACGCAAAAAGCGGTCGTCTTGATCGTCGACCGATAACGACGCCAGATGTCTTACACTCGCAATCCTTTGAACTCTGGCCCGACGCGTTCGACAAATAAAATACGAACCGAGTTTTACAGAAATACTCGTACACCGTGGTCATAACATAACGAAAGCCGGAGCAGGAAAGGACTCGGGAGATTTGGATAGGGAGGAGGAAAAATAAACATCCGCAAAGGGGCAAACGCCACAGACCCACTGAGTCACATTGTTCTACAGCACAGTGATCCGACGCCAATACTTGTTTTTATTTTAATTTTTAAGCATTTGATAAGATGTACATCAGAAAAAAATTATTATTTCCCTCCGCATGAATATAATTTTAGAACGAATTTTAGTGAATAGTAAATATACAGCACGATAGAATTTTTGAACCAGACTCATTTGCATCACTAGACAGGAATTTTAGTTTTAAAATATTAATTTCGTGTAAATTTAATTTTTTTTTTTTTTCTGAAAGCCAAGAAAATGGCAAATTTTGATGGTTAACGGAAAAACGTTATTGGCAATATCTCAACATTTTTACGGTGTTAAATAAACCCAAGGCTGTAACCTAGGAAGGTAATTTATAAAATTTTGGACTCCTCTCCTAACCTAACCTCTCCCTGAATTTATTTTAAAATAGCTCTTTTTAGCATAATACAAAAAAAGATTGGTAAATTAATTTGAAAAAAAATGACAAATTTTTTAAACCGATTACTTTCTAAGAACAGTACTCTGAATATAATTACCTCACCCAGTCAAAACCTACGTGAACATAGTTATACTATGGCATGAACTATGTAATTATTATTTATTTTAGTCATGACTATAAATAACGAATTCGAAGTTTCGGTATTCATTTTTACAAGTTCACTCGTATAGTTTTACATAATATCCAGCTGAGATAGATCATCTAATCTTAATGCATATATATTTAAAAAATCAATCAAATGGTAAAAGCACAAAAAAAAAATGATAGGTATACCGAAAGTGTTTTTTTTTTTCTAACTTTTTAGTATCGAGTAAACTAATCAACTGATTTAAAGAACATATAAATTAACAAATTCATTTGCGGGATTTGTTGAGGTTACTTTTTTATTCAACTTTTAAGAGGGATTTTTTTATTCACTTCGCGAAAACCGTAGAATTGTATTATTTTTTTTTATTTGATAATATATAATATATAATATGTAGGAGTTGATTACATTTTAACTTTTAATCCCACTCAAACCGGCAAAAACTGTTTACACGGGGGCAACACGTAATTTATTCAGCTAGGTAGGTACTAGGTATTATTATTATAGTATATAAAATATGTAACAAGTGTCTGGTATGCTGCAGCTTGCGTTTTCGTTTTGTTTAATCGAGGCTTTGAATAAGAATCTAGATTCTAAACCGAAAGTGATTCAAAGTGAACTTTTTAATATATATTTTAAAAGTGTTCATCATTTGAATTTTGATTTTCATATAATCATTATTCATTACTCTAATATAGATTTGAATTCATATACATAGATAATCATAGTCGTGTTTACGAAGAAGCCAAGTAAGCAGCTGTCCCCCGATTATAAACCAAAGTATTTTTTTTATTATTTCAATATGTAGGTACATAATTCAAAATTTCAATAAATTATTAAGTTAGACTAAGATGATAAGTAAAATTGGTTTAATAAGATAATTATTGGGCAATAATCTATTTTTAAATTTATAAGATGTTTCATAAGTACCATAAGTTCTTACTTCTCTAATGGAAATCCCTAAAAATAATGGCGTTTGTCCTTTCAGCCAGCCTAAACACACCTATGTGGGTAGAAATTTATTTTTATCGATAATTTTCATAAATTCAATATATAACCATATGGGAATTTATTATTTTCATATAATGTAGTATTAGACTCTATTATTATATTATACAATATAACCGTTTTTGATGTACAAAACCTTGGACGAAATATTGGGAAGAGTGTATGGATTCCTTATCCACCGCTCACTTTCATTGTTCGCCTTTGTGATACAAAATGTATACAGGCGAAAGATTTAAGGAACACGTGGAACATTTTATGAAACACAACATCAAAGTAAAAGGAATATCCATACGAGCAGTTTATCAGCGGTATGTCAATTAATTTTGAAACGTCAGCGATCTGTATAATCACGTAAAATCCATCATTCGGGCTGTTTTTATTGGACGTATCTATGTAATAATTATATATGGGCACAAAGTATCTTCAACTTATGAAAATAAAAATAAAATTATTACAACGTTATAGAGGTACTAATAATCATTATGATTTGTTAGAAATTATTTGGTATGTTTAATTTTTGTCGCACATCATATCATAATAATTTATGATCATATAGTTACGTAGTCACATTTTATAATATTATCATATTTTCCAAAGGCGGTATTCCAGCAATATTTCTTATTTTTTGTGTTCACCGATTTATAATGCACCGAATTTATTTTATCGGATTCTCGAAAAATAACATTAAATTTTAAAAGATTCCAAACCGTGAACCATGCAATATACGGTTAGGTATTCGTCTAAAATTGTAATTTCAAGAGACGCATAAGAAACCGACCTGAATATACAACCTGCAAATATTGATAAAATCGCATAAATTCAATTCATTGTCATTGTGATAAATGGGGCCAAATTCGTTCACATAAGTAATAAAACATGGATGAGACATATCATCAGATCAATAAAGACCGTAGTTTTCATTATTGTAGTGTGTCTACAATGTGTCACTTGTTTGACACTCCAATATTTTATAGAAAAATGTAAACAAACATTTGCCTCACGTTTATTATAAGTTGAGGATCACGAAAATAAAATGCAGCCTCAGTTGGTTATATCCCATCCTAATCTTCATTATCCGTGAATTTATTATAACATTATTTTCATATTTATTAAACCGTTTAATTGTTTAAGAAAAAAATAGATTGGTTAACTGGGTTTTCAAGTCACGCTTATCGATTTACAAAACAAAGATTACCATATTATTTTTAATTACGAGTATGTATTTCTCAAATGTTTGTTCTACTACTTACCTTTTTTTTTTTTTTTGTTTTTGTTTATTGATGATATCAAACTTAAAATTTAATCAATGTAGGCGGTTATACACGGTCGTACGATTTACTACCTAATCATAAGTTAAACGAAATATTATAATATTCTTTAAATATACGTAATGTATTTATATATAAGGCATTTAACGCGTTTTATATCAATAAATTAATATTATCTTGTATCAAAGCCTAAGTACAATCACTATATAATCGTTCATTTAAATCAGTTTATTTTCTTTCTACATAATATAAGTATTTATGTTTAAAATATATTTAAAATAATAACTTGTCGACAGTTATAATAATGGATTGGATGGTTTGGTTTTCATTTGTCTTATAGGTATCTAGATATAAGTCGTATTATATGTGTGTTATTATAGAATATTAAATAATAAATATTTGATGTATTATGTTTTTTTTTTATTTTTTCATTAATAAAATTGGACTCTATAAATATTACGATACCTATACTATTTTAACATATCGTATAAGATGGTTTTTTTATTTTCTTAAAAAAATAAAATATTGTGTTGATACTGATGATTATAAAATAAAAAGTCGTGATGGCATCTTTATAATATAGTGTTGCCAGCATTGGTTGTGTAATAATACCGCAGATTTTTGATTTGATTTTGTTTTTTTTTCAGTGATGATGAATGTGATACTTCCATTATACAATTATCATAATTCTTTTTGATATGCAATAAAAACATCGACAAATTACTCGGTAAAAATAATATAATATTGTTGCAGGTGTCGTTTCTAACACAGGTTCAGGTTATTTAAGACCGTAGTGAGAAATTATAATTTGTATAAGTATATATTTATTAATTGTTGAAAAATATTCAAACACTTTTTTGGATAAATATTAACGAGTTTATCATCAAACATATAGAAATAGAATAACAATTATTCTTGCGGACGCAACTTGGTTGTCACGACGTATATTTTCGTTTTTAGGGACGCAATTCGTATGTGGCCGTATTATCACATTGGAGTGTACGCATTAGAAATTTAAAGTCATCTTACCTCTTAGCTGTTGCGTCATAGTTTTCTTGGGAATCCATGTTCGGCTACTTTATAAGTTGCACCCGAAATTCGGCCACGACTGAGGCAGGTAACCCGTCTCCGGCCTGCGAATGCAGAGCATTTAAGGTGGTTCATCCGGCGACTTGATCTGAGGTACAACTCGCCTATTACTGTGTTATTAACTACATGCCTATACTTTCTATTCGTATTATAAATTTTATATTAACTAAGGGAGAGACGGCACCCGTAACAATATTAATTAAAATATTCTCGAATGTTCTCCCGGGTGCAATTATTATTATCGTTTTATTATAAGTATAAAAATTTGAATATATATAATGCAGAAAGAATATGCAGTAATTATGATTAACGTTATCAGATTTTCAATATTGTATACGACTCATAAAGTAACAAAAGGCGGCGTTTAATATAAGTCGGTGTACAAAATGTGTGTCATCGGAGTAAAGAGACACACATAAAAATGACAAAAAATATCAAAACAAATCATGACGATGATGCTGCATAGAAACATCTAATATTTTACATGAACCTTTGATAAGAGCACAAAAAATGTATTGAAAAAAAAATTAGAACTAAAAATTGTTAAGTATGACACCACTTGTGCTTGCATTGATTTAGGATAGACTGACCATACGTCCTGTTTAAAACGGAATTTCCCTTTTTTTGATCATGTCCCGTTGTCTCGACGAATTTTGAGCGGGACTTCTTTTGTTCCATTTTTAGAAAATAATACCTCAACAACATAGTAGAAAACGGGTTAAAATTAAACACCTAAGAGTTAAGAGAACCGGAAAATCCATTTGAAACTTCAAAACCGTTACCAAACAGATATTCACCACCAAGTGGTAAATATTCCTATCGGAATGTTTGATATTTTATTTTTATTATTTGCCAACAAATTTATTTTAACTTGAAACAAATTATAACATTCAACATTTTACATTCAAATGTACCTAATTCTAAATAATTTGTTGGTTTACTTTTGACAACTGACTGCTATCATATGTATTAGAATAGAAACATTTTTTTTTTTAAGAATTTTAGTATCAAATTTTGACGAAAATCTTAAATATTATGACCTTTTAAAATATATATAACGCTCCGAATTGTTTTTCGTTAGCAATCTATTATCGTTGCATACACATATAAATTAATTTCCTCTTTATATTCTACCTTCTATGCTTTTCACCTACAACAGTACACATGGCCCACTAATTGTGCAAATTATATCCGTATTTCTATGTATACATTTGTGTTTTAAATAAAATTTTGTTTTTTTAAGTTTTTGTGCTTTACATACCTTGTAATATTTTCAATTTTCGTCAAAATTTAATATTAAAATGCTTATAAATAAAATTAAAACATTAAACTCAACTTTTTCTTGTTCTAGAGTAAAATTGTCAAATATTTCTGGTCTAAAAATATTATCTACAATGTACCTACCAAAAGTTACGTAAAACACGTAAAATTTAATTGTCTATATATAGCTTAAAAATGACTCAAATATTTTGAATATTTTATCTCATAAAGTACATATGAATTTTCTGTCAAAATTTTAACTCTCTACGAGTGAGTATTTTTACTTAAATTACAACAACAAAACAAAATTTAAAATTATAAAGCATTATTTTTGGAATTTTTCCCGTTTTTTCTACGTTTTCTTTTGGTGTTGCTTAATTATTAATATGTGCTACAGGGAAAATTGAAAAACGACGTTCTTACGCACTAGATGAAACTAAACTAAATTAAAAATGCATAAAAAAAAAGGTTTCTTGTTTCTTTTTACCTAAAAATATCACCCAGATAATAAGGTAAAATTTCTTTAAGAAAAGGCGTTATACTTGAAAATCGAAGCAAGATTTCTGGTAAAAAAGTTATTTACATAATAAATAAAAATCATTAACATCATTGTAAAACCTATACATTCCTCGTTCCGCTTAGACTCTAAAAAGGACTTTAAAAAGTCAAATAATACAAACATGTTTGCTACAATCCAAACATTTAACTCTGTTATAAAACTTAAAACTTTATAAATATGATAATCATTATGTGTACAATTATCATATTATATAATATTATATTATGGGAAATTAACGTACAGTATCGCTCATTATACCATACTTTGAGACTTATATATAATAAACCGTACCACTATAATATATGTTTATGTAAGCTAAATTACCATAACTATTCGAAAAGGTTTTAAAATAATATTTGTTTTATCTTATGATTTTTCTTCTTTTAGGTGAACTCTGCCATAACCACGAGCTGTATAGATAATTCTATTCAGAATAATATAATATTTCATGAAATTACGTTCTATATGAGTAAGTTCACGTGAGGTTCATTATCATTTAAGAATCTTTGAAGTTTGTTGTTTACATAAATTAAGTTATGAATTATAATCATTTCCTTTTTACTATGTACTTACATGCCTACGATAATAGAATAATAAATATTCGTAAATATAATATAAATCTTCGTACCCGCGGCAAAATGATTAAATTGGATAACCATATATTGGATTAACCATATATTACACAAAATACAAATAAATTCAGTAAATAAGTTAATATAATATTATATAATATTACTATTGTTGCGATTATCAACCACTAGAACTATTTTGTGATCACGGTGGGAGGGAAGGGGTTAGAAGGGTATCGTATCTCCTACCATGAACTTTTTTAGATTCAAAGTGTAGCGAGGAATGTATTGGTTTTACAAAGATGTTTAATATTATTATTTTTTTATACTGTGTACAAATTTTCTACCTGAAAAATTATTGAAAGTCCGGAATTTAAATTCGAAACTGATAATGGGAAGTTCTAAGTACATAGACCTACATTAATATACTTGAATAGCCCGTAGGTAAACAAAGAATTTATTTGTTAAAGCACAGGTTTATGGTAATTTCTTGTAAAATAAGAAGCACTAGTGTTAATGCTTATGTCGAGATCAAAACTAATACAGCATATTATAACGACAGAGACAGCCATTTATTTTGGCGATATGAAATTTCGGTTAACTATTTTCATCGTTTTAAGATCCCAGTCTTGCTACAATGTCTTCCACATAATACTTTATTATTATAATACACAATTATACTTGAAATAAACTTCGATACTGTTACACATTTACGAAATGAAACTCGTTAGATCGCATACCTAATGGCGTTTCGTCGACATAATGATGAGTATGATATGGTTAATAATATAATGCAAATATGACATACGTCTTGTATTGAGAATTTGATCCTTTGCACGTGATTTTAAACTCAAGCTCCCTGATAAGTTTTATTTATTATTTATAAAATATGCGGTACCCATTATAGACGAATATGATTGTTCGACGGATAATTTTACCTAATGGAGTATAATGTATATTGTATTTATTTTATTATACAACACACAACGTTACGATAGTGAAACGGTCGACGATATATTTTTCACTAAAACGGCAATAACCGAATATCACGATTAGAAATGCCTAATGTGACCAATAAACATATATTTTTTTGGTAAAAACGGAACAAAAAGAATGCATCATAATTTTTACTATAAACAAAACTGCTTTTTTTTAATAAACATAAACAAATTTACACACCTATTATTACATTTTTACGGAACAAAAATGAAATTAATTAATCAAACTTATTATTCATTAATACGTAACTCATTTTTATAATGGACATTTTTTTTTTCTATTTAATAATTATAAAGAAAATTATATACTAGTATATTTTTCGTTGGAACATATTTTTTTCATTAAGTCCAATAACCCGCAACGACGTTCAAAAAGTTTAACTACAAACCCAACCTTCTGCCAAGTACTTAATTGATTATCGTTATTTATTAGTTTACCTTCTGAAAATAGGACATTTTTGTGTCCCGAGATTGCCCAGGGGACAACGGACAGAAGTACATAAAATGGGACAATTTCGTTCAAAACGAGACGTATTTGGTCACCTTAGGAATGCCTCCTTTCGTCTCATGTACCCTCATTATTCCGGTACTAGTACCTCTATGGGTGTCCTACAGTGTTATCCATATGTGTTATCAATGTTTATATTTTTTCCAATCGGGTTCTATGTACCTAAAGGGGACACAAATGTAGAGACAAATTAAATTTTTATTTTCATTCCTTAATCACTGAAAAATAATCTTTTATTGAATGAACTGAGCAGCTCAGTTTAAATTTTTCCGCTCACGAGCCATGAAAACTGTGAGAACAATTATCGGTCT